CTTGTTAAAGAAAAAAATATTAAAGAATTGGAGAATTATGTAGAAAAAATGAACAAGCTCATTTCAGAAAATAATTGTCTGCAAAATTCTTTGCAGGAAGAAAAAACAAAACGTGAAAAGTTATTTAACTTGTTGGATCCAATAAATGAAGAGTACGTCGATGATAGAGGGTTGGATTACTCTCCAGACAAGTTGGAAACGAAAATAATCTATTTAATGCAATCGTTTGCTAATGAGAAAGAAATTGTGAAATATCAATCTGATCAATTAGCTGAGAAAGAGAAAGAGGTGACTGATCTGGTGAATAACTATGAACAAGCAGCTGCGAATCGCATACTTTTAGAAAACGAACTGACACAGTTAAAAGAACACATCAATAAATTAGAAGCAAGCAAAGAAGCTGATATAAAACAAATCATAAAAGTTCTAACAGATAATGAGAATCTAAAAATAATAGATGACAGTGACGAAGAAGATTTTAACGACGATTTGCGACAAGTAGATCTTGATCAATTAAATCCAGATGATGCTGTTCACTTGTGCGTCGATCGCATAAAAAAAATGAAGAATGATCAGCAGAATTATTTTAAAGAAAAACGTAGCCTCCAGAATGAGATTCTTTTATTGAAGAACAAATTAGACATGTCAAGGAAATTGACGAGTGAAACAAATAGTGGGAAATTTGAGGATTTTGGAAAAAAAGTAGTCGAATTAGATATTCTGAGAAGAGAATTAAAATCATTGCAAAGTTTGTATGACCAAGGTGCAAATGTAGGAGATTTGAATATTCTAATTATCGAGTTAAAAAAAGAAATTGAACGGTTAGAAAATGAACTACATCTAATGAAGAACAGAGTTGACGTTTCTGAAACAAAAAAATTGGAGAAGGACTGTCAAAGTTGCGTGCTTCGAGAAAACGAGCTGAGACAATTAAAAGAAAATACCCATAAATTAGAAGCAAACAAAGAGGCTGATATAAAACAAATCTTGAAGATTCTAGCAGATAATGAGGGTCTAAAGATAATAGATGACAGTGATGAAGAAGATTATAATGACGATTTGCGACAAGTAGATCTTGATAAATTAAGTCCAGATGATGCTGTTCACTTGTGCGTCGATCGCATCAAAAAAATGAAGAATGATCAGCAGAATTATTTTAAAGACAAACGTAGCCTCCAGAATGAGATTCTTTTATTGAAGAACAAATTAGACATGTCAATGAAATTGACGAGTGAAACAAAAAGTTGGAAATTAGATGATTTTGGAAAAAAAGTAGTCGAATTAGATATTCTGAAAAGAGAATTAAAAACATTGCAAAGTTTGTATGACCGAGGTGAAAATGTAGGAGATGTAAAATTTCGAATTGTCGAGTTAAAAAAAGAAATTGAACAGTTAAAAAATGAACTAGATCTAATAAAGAACAGAGTTGACGCTTCTGAAACAAAAATATTACAGAAGGACTGTCAAAGTTCTTTTGATACAATTGACAGAGAGAGACAGGGATATGAGCTTAAAACTGAAGCTCTAAAACTGCAATTAAAAAACTTGGAAGATGAGAATGTTAAACTATATAATCAAAAATGTATCAAAGAGCAAGAAATGTTAAATATGATAAAAAACCTGGAAAATCATGTGCTTCAACAAAAAATAGTCCTTGATGAAAAGGAAAAAAATGTGCAAGAGTTGAATGCGGTAATGGAAAAATATGGGGCACTATCAGTTGAGTATGAAAGGTTGCAGAGAGACTTGATTATATTGAAAGAAAACAGAAAAATTGAAGATGAAAATTCAAAAAAAGAAAACGATGCCTTATTAAATGATTTAAAAAAAGAAAAACGTATATCAGAGGAAAGGTTAGGCATAATTGAAAACATTGAGAAAATGTTGAACGAAAAAAATGATTCATTGAGTAAATCAGATTATGAAAACGAACTATACTTAAAAGAAAAAGAAAATATGTCAGAATATATCAACAAGCTTGAAGAAATGTTAGAAAAGGAAAACGACTTGTTCCAAAAACTTTCAACAGAAAATGATAAACTAAAAAAAGATATCAGCAAGCTTGAAGAAATGTTAGGAAAAGAAAGTGATTTGTCCCAAAAACTTTCAACAGAGAATGATAAACTAAAAAAAGATATCAGCAAGCTTGAAGAAATGTTAGGAAAAGAAAGTGATTTGTCCCAAAAACTTTCAACAGAGAATGATAAACTAAAAAAAGATATCAGCAAGCTTGAAGAAATGTTAGGAAAAGAAAGTGATTTGTCCCAAAAACTTTCAACAGAGAATGATAAACTAAAAAAAGATATCAGCAAGCTTGAAGAAATGTTAGGAAAAGAAAGTGATTTGTCCCAAAAACTTTCAACAGAGAATGATAAACTAAAAAAAGATATCAACAAGCTTGAAGAAATGTTAGAAAAGGAAAATGACTTGTCCCAAAAACTTTCAACAGAGAATGATAAACTAAAAAAAGATATCAACAAGCTTGAAGAAATGTTAGGAAAGGAAAATGATTTGTCCCAAAAACTTTCAACAGAGAATGATAAACTAAAAAAAGATATCAAAAAGCTTGAAGAAATGTTAGGAAATGACTTGTCCCAAAAACTTTTAACAGAGAATGATAAACTAAAAAAAGATATCAACAAGCTTGAAGAAATGTTAGGAAAGGAAAATGACTTGTCCCAAAAACTTTCAACAGAGAATGATAAACTAAAAAAAGATATCAACAAGCTTGAAGAAATGTTAGAAAAGGAAAATGACTTGTCCCAAAAACTTTCAACAGAGAATGATAAACTGAAAAAAGATTTTCAGAATCTAAAAGCATTAAATGAATCAAAAATGGAGAGTGATCTGCAGCCTGTGGTTAGAGAAGAATCTTCGTTGTTAACGGGAAAAAATAAAAATATAGAAAGCGCCGTAGATAATTCTAAATTGGAAATCACTAATAAAAAGAATAATTTGTTAGAATCCGAATTAAATTATCGTGATCAAAATTATGTGAATGATTCTGAAAGTGAAACAGTTAAAGTCCAAACTTATAAAAACGCATCGTACCCTAATTTTAGCAATGTAAAATGCAATTCCCTTGATCACAAAGTAATGAAAGTTATTCAGCTTCCCATTCAGTCAAAAAGCACCGATAAAGATAATCATTCAAAGAGACATTCAGACAAAAACGATGATGAATTTTTAAAAGGGTGTTCTCTTGAAGACGTAAAATTACTGCTTCAAAATCTATCTTTCGCCAACGAAGAACTCACACAAAAACTTAATTCGCAGCAAGACTATATATACGATTTAGAAAAACAGCTTAATCAAATAAAGGAAAACAAATGCAGTAAATACACTTATCAGAACGAATGTGACAAACATTACAACGGCGACGAAACGTTACTGGATGAAATAAAATCTCTGCGAGAAGCCAACTATAACTTATCGTTAGAGGTGGCAGATTTGCGTTACAAATTGCAGGAGAAATCTAGACTGATGAGGATGGGCATCTCCAGTGAAGTGCACGAGGAGAGGGAACTTCTGCACAAGCAAATGAAGGAACACAACAAAATTGTTCAAAACTACGAGGACAGAATTGCTTATTATCTGTGTCAAATTTCCTTGCTTAGGTCAAGAAATGAGGAACTGAAATTCGAAAACGAAAAATTCTTCAACGAGTTAACTGACCTTAGAGGTATCGTTTCCATCTACACAGGAAACAACATTTCAGGAGACAAGCTAGTTGATGAATTGAAAAATGAAAATATAAAACTGAAAAAATATCTGGAAGCATTAAGTCATGGATTGAAAGGTCCAACTATTTCACCACCTGAAAACTTCAAAGATTCGTCGAACGTAGGTATCTCTGTTTCCATAGGCACTTCGGGTCAGCAGCACCAGTCGCAACCACATGAACCACCCATAAGCAACGCTGCTAGCGACCACACACATTGTCACAACGAGATTGCCAGACTGAACACAATTCTGAATGTTAGTACGTTTGAAAAATTACACAAAACCGCAGTTCTTTTAATATATTATTATTGTTTGTTACAAATTTAATTACGTAAAAAATAATTTAGGAGAATGAAAAGAAAAATAAAGAATTAATTAACCAGTACAGGAATCACCTTCTTGCCTCATTTCAGGTTCAATTAATATTTCTTGCGTTTCATAACTCACTTATTATTTAACAATTCAATTTATGTCAACAACAACATATGAATAAAATAACCACCCAATACAATAACTTGCTTCATTATCTATCTTCGAACTACACTTCCTCTCATCCGTGGTTAAAATAATTTAAATAACTTAATAACTTAAATGACTTGCAACACGATTCGCAGGGAACCTTGGACCCACAGGTCAAAGAAAGTTTGCTAGACATCTTAAGGATAGAACGCAGTTGAATGTGCTGAACATTAAAAAAAACTCGATTGTCTCCTTCATTCTTGTCTGGGATTGAATATTTTATTTTATATTATTAGTTTTTTCAGAACGTTGCATGTATGTAAATTTTATATTCGATAAATTTTTGTTTTTAAATAATAATCAATTAAATAAACACCTGTTGATATCGATTAACTTTAGAACCAACAGAAGTTTACAGCACCCATTGTATATATTTGTAAACAACCGAAGATGAATGTGCCATAGTTAAATTAAATTTCTACAACTTCTTTTTACTATCATCTCAGATTTATCGATGGCTTACAGAAAATTATTTTGTTGTTGTGATTTGAAAAGTCGTTCAATTTATTTATTGCTCGTTTACTTGATTATAACTTATCTGCCATGACTTCAAAATGTCATTACATTTCATTAAGCACCATTGTGGCGACGATAATTATCGCTGATTTTATTCAATCACTGATTATAATCAGTGATTTAACATTCGGAAATTAACTCTTCATTTATAGATTATTTTTTAATGAAAAATTATTACCATTGAAATTTTTACGAAATTATCGCTTCATTCAATTTTTACGCCAAATAAAAAACCATAAAAATATAAATTTAAACGTGTTTTATTTCAATAAATTGCATCAAAATCACAGAAACGGTCCATAGGAAAATTTTAAGTAGCAGCTCACATGACATATGACAACAATAGAACAATCGGACTCATTAACAAATAAGTACATACCATGGAATTATATAATTCAATGGTACATATGAAATACAATACAAAGTACGTAACATGTTCAAATTAAATGCACAAGTTTTAATAAGATTAAATTGAAATTACGAATAAATAATCATTTATATATTATACGGAAACAGTTACGCGTTAGTTTAGAATATTTGCAGGACGAGAAAAAGTACTGCATAGCTAACTTTAAGATGACTAGTTAGACAAGGTAGGATGAAGTGCTTGTTAATCGTACAGAGGTTAATAAGTTAAAAAACATTTGTTGGGTATCGTTAAAGTAGCAAAACTGAAAAGTAATTAGAAGAAGAGAAATTCAAATGAAAGAAATGTCTATCAAAGTTTTTCTGCAAAGTTTAATCTCATGGTGATAAATGAACAAAACAAGAAATATTGAATCATTTGCTTATAATTTGAAAAATTTATTTTACTGAGATGTTTCATAAATAATACGCTATTTATTACAAACATTGATAATAAAACTTTTAAATCAGTTAATTACGCCGAGAAATAACGCGATACTGTTGATGCTTTAGAAACAAAATTTGAACTTTAATAATATTCGCATATGCAGGATAAATTTAGTAATTCTAAGAATTAATTGAATGAACAATACAATACAGACAAACAAAAATCGGTTCGAAATACGGTAAAAACAAAAATGAATAAATAGAAACGATGAACTTGACATGATACGTGCAAGAAATAAGAACCTATTTAACGTTAGTCGATCGTGGGGTTGGCAAACGACACAATCATTGATGTACTTAGTCGTCAATACAAATGCCTCGCTCCTCAGTTCATTTGTCTTCTTCTCTGTTGAACATAAATTATTATAAAACACCGTATAAGATTCAACCAGGGGTATAGAATAAAACCTATTTACCTTAATTAAAAATGTTTTTGGTATAAACCGGGCATCATTGGTTCGTTCAGAATTTCGTCATTCCACGTCAAAATAGAACAATAGTCGGTGTTGTTGGCTGATGACAAATTGGCAACTACGTCGATCTGTGCCTTGTAACCAACGCCAATGGTCACGAAAAGGTTGGCGCTGCTTCTCTTCACGAATCCATCATCACCATCGTCGGTATCTGTGCTCAGTTGGTCATCGACCCGTCCCGGGTGGCACAAATCAACTGGACATTCGTCCACATATAGAGTTGCCGATTGATGGATAGGATCAGCGGAATGTCGAAGGGGTACAATGAACAATCCACGCGGACTCGTTGCGTAAGGGGTGCATGCAAACACTGCCTTCATGTCCACTCCACTGAAGCACATCAGGGAACCTGTGGACGTGCCCACGTACAACCTGCCACCCATCACCATCATGCTGGTAATGCTGAAACATCCATTCTTCACTGTTTGCAATGTTTGTTTCAACAAATAATTTGAATGAATTTTTACATGTCGCCTGAATTAATTTAATTTTTTTCACCAACTGAAAACGATTTGCTACCAGGTATGAAGGGTTCGATCAATTCGATCATAAAGAGGGCCATAGTTTAACTCATTTTCTACATAGAAAATGAAATCAACGAGCTACCAGTGCAACATTGCCTGATACGTTTTACAATGCAAGATAAATTGCGCACAGGATAGAGAAACAATAGAGGGACAGGTTTGTGAAATAGGAGAGTTCATAATAAAATTAGGAAATATGAACAAACCCGGATGGATGGATGGGAAGCAGTTATGAGCAACGTCAACTTGGCTGATCACTTGTTTGCTTTGTAGTGACCATTTGAACACCGTTGTACCTGTTCGTGAATTTCAATGAAAAGGTTGACATTATTGCTGGCACATAAAGGGCTTTTAGGTAAATATCTTGTTAATAATTTCAAATTTATGAGAGTTACCTGGGTAAACGTATGAGAAAAGATGGGAAGTTGAGCTGAGGATATCACTATCAACAAGATCTTCATCTTCATTAACATCTTGAACAATTTGAACTGTATCGCATAAGACTTGAGGCTTTTCATATGCAGTGAAATGATTAAAGGTTCCAACGTATTCTAGAACGTAATCGTTGTTCTCGACCCACTGCATGTCCACGCTGCACTTCCACACCAAGACACTTGCCTGTGTCTGACCACACCACAGTTCGACGTCGTTGTTACTACTAAGGAAAATGTTGTTGACAACAAACGCGCTTTTTTAAGAATATAATTTCAAAAAAAATTAATAATAAAGCAATGATGGAACTGAACAAAAAAAAAAGATGAAATAATTTATCGATGACGAACAATCATTGTCACGTATTCATGAGACGAACCTTCTGTTTCTGAAAGCTGCAACACAATGAGTTAGTTTGCTGTTACTTGTGTGTCTGCACAATATTATCGAGCTCAAATCAGCGGAGTTGTTGATTTCAAAAGAGTGCCCTAAATTGTCGGAATCATCACTTTCATTAAGTTTGTTCAAACAATCGAAGCTGGTGGAGCAGAAAACGAAAGTTCCATCATTGAGAAGAAGACAAAGCATGGAGCCCAGGTTGATAATGTGGCCTACCCCTGTTGGCGCCTCACAAACTCGCACCTTCCCTAACTCCGAGTAGTCAGATATCCTGTGAGGTCCAACATATATGTCCGTGTGATAAAATTAAAAAAAAATACTGCTACAAATAATAATATTAGTTCTAATAGCAAATATAATATTAATAATATTACTGTTGCACAAATACTACTATCATCGCAGTGAAAGTTCAAGTTGAAGCAGGTGTGGCTGGAAGTAGCAAGGCGCAAAAGTAGTCAGTCTATTTCTATTACAATATACATGTTACAACGACTGTTACCACTTAATTAATTATTCAGTTATTCAGGAGAGTCACGTGCCATTTCTCTGACGGACTCATTAACCGAAATCAGGTGAAGAAGCATGAACCTGTAAATGATGACATTCGAGACCTCTGTTCCACACCAAACATAACCGCCCACACAACACATACAGGTGACCCGACTTGGCTGAACGAACAACTTCTGTTTATTTAAAAAGAATGAAATAAAAACTAATTAAAAAATTAAGTAAATGACTTTTTCATGACGCTACATTGATTTACATTTATTTATCTGATTGTGCCTAATATGCACGAACATAAAGCTTTTCATATATAAAAACTATCACCAAACAATAATTGCATAATTCTGTGTGCATTTAATACAAAATGGTTCCAAAAAAAATCAAATACGAAAGAAAAAAGAAATTTTAAAAAACTTCTGAGAACCTTGATGTGGACTCCACCATTTTTGAAGCGGCTGTAAACATAGAGGGTGTCACGTTTGGTGGTTGGCGCTTTTTGTGCTGATGCCGATGAGGCTGATGATGGTGAAGACAGCGATGATGATGATGCATTGGTCCTTCCATACATCATCACCTCGCAACATTCTGCAGTGCAACAAGAAAGGCAAGTACATATAATTAGAACATCATTATTTTTTATAAAAAAAATTATAAAAAAGGTGATGAGTGATGAGAGGAGCAATCAACGAGGCACTTAAACAACTCTTTACAAGTTTTGTGGCCGAAAATAACAAAACTTAAATTTCAATGAACGAAAGAGGCACCTTCTTCGTCACAGCCGCCAACAAGAGATGTCGTCACGACTGGACAGGCAGCCTCAATCAGAACTTCCTCATTGAATGTCACAGCATTCAGCAGTGTACAGAACTCTGGCTGTCTGGCTATGAATTCAATTTGATGAGCGGTCAGCCGATCGTGTGGATCGCTAGCCCAGCAGGTGGTCATCAGGTCGAGAAGGTTGGAAGGGTACTTGGTGTCCTGCGTGCAATCAATGACAAGTGTACACGCGCGTGGAAGACATGCTTATGATAGCGAATGATGTTGAATGTGAGTATTTAAAATACATCGAGATTTTATTTGTTATCGACATTAGCAGATGTGAGAGACCTATCTCAATCTCACAACCACATCCGTCCATCTAGCATCTACTGACCCACGTGGCAAGGAGAGGTCTGCCTCCTGCGAGAATGTGACTCTTGAGGTTGAGTCTGCAGGCGCCCAGGAATGCATCGTTCTCGTACGGGTACTTGAGCGTTATCAGTTCGTACATCAACAATGCGAAAGAATAGCAATCAACCTGGTGACGACGGAGATGACACAAGTTCAAATATAAAAACCCCATTGATCGTCCACTGAATATTTTTAAAAACCTTCACCTTCTCAGTATATGCTTCTTCTCCATTGTGCAGTATGATCTCCGGAGCCATGAACGGCAATGTACCTGCAAGTCCCTTGGTTCCTGTCGGCAGAACAACTCTGCTCACTCCATAATCAGCCAACTTGACGTCAACAGGAGTTTGTGTGATTGTGTAGTAGTTGTCGCTGAACATGGCGTTGTTGTTGTTTCTATCGTTGATGGTGCAGCTGGGAAAGGACCAGACCAGAATGTTGTCCGATTTCAAATCTCGGTAGATGATCTGGTTGAAGTGAAGATAATCCAAAGCTGATGCAACCTGCATAGGAATATAACACGGTGACAATAAGTTCACGTTATATGTTGTAACATGATGACATTAAGTTGATGTTAAATGTAGTCAGGAGATGACAATAAGTTGATTTCAGCAATTGCATGAAGATGGCATTAAAAAATTAATAAAATGAATGAATAAAATGAATAATAAAATAAAAATAAATCCCGTGACCATCAGTTGAAGTGCTCAGGTAAATTAGAAGTAAATATTCAGACAAAAGAGAACACTTGCTTGAAATAAAACAACCCCAACAATAATATAGAAAAATAACAAACATGAGAAATTTTGAAACTGTAGTCTGAAAATTATAAAGAAACAAAAGTGAAAAAATATCACATAACATGACAGAAGAGAAAATAAATTAAACATTTATAATATAATAAAACGAAATATGGATAATTTGATGGTCAACCTGAATGATAACATCCCTAATTGCGTGCATCGGCAGCTGCAAGCCTACCTTGGAAAAATTTTTGAGATGGCAATTAAGAGAGCCCATGGGAGCGAGCGAGAGAATGAGTGAGATTGGAGAGACGCAAACGCCGACGAGCGAGACGACAGATTCGTGCTGCAAGTACAAGAGGATACTCAACTCCTTCCTTGCGATGTTGTATGCCTCGCAGCACTTCAACGCTGGTTCCCTGGTCCACATTGACACGTCTTTCTGTTGTACAGTTTTTATTCATGTTTGTTCACTTCAATGGCATTTTTTTTAAACCCATAAGAGTCATTGATTGAAACGTTAATAAACATCGACACGATGTTGTATGATGCAAATTATCTGAATTGAAATAACTATCTGTGGAGCATGTGCAGAATAAATTAATCAAAATAACAGTGATAGATATCAATGAACAAGCAGAATTGTTATTTTCACGAAGAAGAATGTTTTTGAAATTAGCAAAGACATGAAGTTACATTACGCAAGAAACAAGCCAAATTGAGGATGTTGAATGACGGAAAGTTGAAGAACCTTGATGAGTCTGAGGACTTCATCTTCCAGATCTTCATTTGGGATGACAGGCTGCAGCAACTTTATGGCAACAGGGCATCTCTCGTTTGTCATCTGAATGGAGATAGAAGAACAAATAATGAATAGCAGTTATTAAACTGGTCATAAAATTTTTTTTCAGTACGTCTGTAAGGTAATTAGTTTGTCATCATTAAATTTTAATTTTTTAATTCGTATTTATATGCAGTATTTAATTTTAGATCTAATAATTTTTTTATCAGGAACCCAAAAGTTTTCAATCTAATGATCATCAACCAATCAAATTTTTAGATTAACATTTGTGCACATAGAATAAACACAAAACAGTTAAAATTGAAGACCTTGTCATCAACGTATCCAGAGAAAACTGAACCAAAAGCACCTTTCCCAAGAAAGGACTGCCTGTGCAAGTTGTCCGTGTTGATGAGCAGATCAGCTTTCAAATCATAAAAAACCTGTGTAACAGTTTGAAAAAATCTCCCATACAAAAGTTTGCATGTGATAATTTGTGAATAAAAAATTAAGCTATAATCAAATAATGGCAAAATATTCATTCTATTGACAACGAGTTTGTATTAATAGCTAATTTTATTTTAATTTCATAAGTACATCATTTAGGTTTAATATAGCATTCAAGAAAAAATAGAACGTGTAAGGTGTTTCTATCACTTTCATGTTTAAAAAATAATTAAACAGTGCATGGATTCAAATTTTCATTGAAAAATAAAATGAGCAAATGCCTGTGTATGAAACAACGCATCTCACGTGCGTATAATGGGCAGACGTTTAATTTGCATTCAACTGGATGACTGCCATGCAGGACCTAGCACTCTATACACCAAGCCATACTGCTGACTAATGAAAGTTATTTACAAACCCAATTGAACGACAAACTGATCAGTGAACCAAATGGAACGAACCGTATCAGGAGCAACATGGCCGAAGTGCAGCAGGCCATCCTGTCCAGCCAGGTAGAAAGGACCGAGATTGCCGTGTCTCGGACAGCTGACGATTTTGTTCTGCTGTGCAACTTGTATGCACTGTTCAAACGTGAAGCAGTACACAACTTGCAGAGGGGCATCGACGTCACTCGAGAAACTCAAACGTTTGTTCTGCTTCCTAACTGCTCTATCTCTGTGTACACGTACAGTGGCACAAATTTGTACAACTAAGTAAATTTTGTTCGATAAAAGCGTTCAGGAGAGAAACAGAATGCGTGCATTATATCTTTCGATTATTTAAAAGTTAAAAGATTAATTATCACCAGGAAACATTTGGACATAAACGTGCAGCAGTAATGTGTAGAAAAACAAAATTCAGCCAAGTACACAAAATAAAACTTTCAAAAAATTAGAATAATCATCGTATAAGAGCAAGAACCGTGAAAAAAGTAGGGCTAACTTGAACTGGACTGGAGGACTGGGTTCGAGGTGTGCAGATTTCTTGTGGCAGGTTTTATTTATAGAGGCAGGTGATGCGTCATTCCTTCCACTACTCTTCATCGTTCCTGTGCTCTTCCTTCTCTGCACCAGTAACTTTCCACTTGCTGCTGCATTCTTCTCATCAGTTCTCATCATCAACAGACACTCATCTTCGTCCTCATCATTCTCAGAGCTTTCAAATTCTCTCGAATTGGCACTGAGACCATCATCCAACAGCTGATCATTTGACACTTGTAATTTTTGTTGGATCAAGCAGTGATTGCATGGAACCAACCTGTTAATAAGAAGCATGCCTCTGAAATCCTTCGTGAACCTCGTTCCAATGTTGGGGTACCAGTCTTCGAGAAGAACATCAATTTGCTCAACAACTGTTGACAACAATCTCACAGCTATTTCTTGTGACGGGTAGAAGGTCACTTTTGATATTTTTTTTCCACGGATATCATTTGACTCTGAAAGCTTAATGCCGTTGCTGAACTTACAGATGCCACATTCATTATTAATGGTGGCGCTGCTGTCGTTGTTGAAGCTACTGTTGATACTGTCGTTGATGCTGTTGATGTGGATATTTTTTGATTGAGGTGAACCACCATTCATTGATATTTGTATTGAATTTTCTCCCGGATAACTTCCAACAGTACTACTACTGCAGCTGTTTGTTTCATTTTCAACAGAGCATCTGGTGTCATTCCTCCATCTCCTCCTTTTTCTCACATTCATTCTATCTTCTAATTCTTTATCGCTATCTTCATTGTTAAAGGTTACAAAATCAAATGTTTCATTAAAGATGACAATCTCCAAAATGGATTCGTCCAATATGAAAACAGAATTCCACGTATAATCTGATTCCTCGTGAACAACGCATTGAAATTTCGTGTAGTCGAAAACGCCAGTTGTGGTTGATGCGGAGAGCTCCTTGACGCGCATCACTGGAAAGCCGAGGTAACAAAGTTCGAGGCCCGTCTGCCAACATCGCCAATTCGGCTTCAACAAATTGTCCAAATCATTTAGGCTCGACAAAGTGTGGCTGGAGGAGGATGAGAAAGAAGAGATGGGCATTGATGACGTAAGTGATGATGTCACAATTGCTTGAATCTTGCGAACATCGTAGAGCGATCTGAGCAGATTGGAATAAGTTGCATCTCCCAGGAGGCGTGTGATCAAACGAGGCCAGAACCCTTGCAGCAAAACATCATAGTGAACATTTGTATAATAACCTTCGATACGTCACAACGAACATAAAACTTGAATGTTTGGTGAATTACACGATGTCAAATAAAATAAACAACTGAATGCTCACCTGAAGGAATGTACGACATAGTATAGAGTCGAAAGAACGAAAGAGCTGGGTTGACATTTCTTAATATCTTTGAATATAGCAAATAAGATGCAGGCGAGGTTGTTGATACATCGGCTAGAAGCTCCTGTGACTTCGTTGCTGCAGCGTTTGCAGGTGAATTTGATGTCGCCGCCACTTCAGTTGATGAAATTTTTGAAGGCGGTGTTGATGTGATCGATGAAATAAATGTTGATATTTTCGAGAATGTCGTAGTCGACGATATTTGTGCGGTAGGTGACGTAACTGTTGATGCTGCAGTCGTTGTTGATGTCGTTGCTCCTGCTTGCATGAATGCTGATGACATTGAGGACGGCATCTTTGAAGTTTTAGTTGCAACAACATTGGAAGAAGATAGTTCGAAAGATGACGATGGTGATGATGACGACGACTGGTCTTTTTGTTTCAGTAATTTAGAATTGAAAAGTGATGATAATGACTGCGATATTTTTGATGATAACGACAATGTGGTAGATGTAGTTGAAGTCGATGACGCTGATTGTTGCGCTGCAACTGGCGACGAAAAAAGTGAAAATTTTCTAGGACTCGTCATAGCGGATGTTGTGGTGGGTGCTGTTAATACTGTTGAATATGTTGTTGATACCATTGCTGTTGATGATGATGAGGATGTTGAAGATGATGAGGGCAAAGCCATGTCCTCGGAGCTTTCAGTTGATGTTTCCACGAGATGCTGATGTTGGAGGGACTTGTCAACTCTGCTAGTCAATGGGATCTGAAGTTACAAAATAAGTACAAATATCAACTAATGACTCCCCCAATAGCTAAACTATTTTTTTGAACTAAACCTTATCAAAAAAATTGATACAATTTTATGCTTAAATGAAAATTTTTCCAGAACATAAAGGAGTGGTGAAAAGTACACAACCACCATTTGAAGACTATCATTTGAAGAGCACCAGAGAAGAGCAGGCAAACACACCTCAGCAAATAGTTTCCTAGAGCCAGGCTTATCAGGAGGCAGCAAGGAGGGCAGAAGAAGGTGGTGCATGTCCCACTGGAGAGCCACCTCAAACTTGTGCAACAGATTGATCATATACTTCTTTATGTCTTCAGACTTGAACGATATGCCCTTGAACAACATCGGTAGGTCGTCAATCTTCATGACACCTATCAAAACATGTACAACATACAGGTGTGTACGACACACATACATACATGCGTGTACAACATACAAGTGTGTACTACATACATTTCAAAATTCTTTTTAACCAACATCACAGCTGATAAAAACATTTATTATTTACTACATCCGAACCCAAACTAAGAAAAAAGATGAAAATTTAATCAGCGTACCATTACAAGATAGCCTGTTTATTTCCCTGACGGTGACAATGCAGGCCAGCATGTCGCACAGCCACTGGGCGTCCAAGAAGTAAATGCCACGGAGGTTGGTGTCGTCGTAATGCAGCAGCATGCCTGGACGACAGTGGTAAGGATTGAATAGATTGGATGAATGTGGTAGCAATGGATGGATGTGGATGCAATGGATGAAATGTGACAACAAAACAACAAAAAAAGTAATACAATCAAGTTCCTAGCAAAACTATTAAACTATCTTAATGAAAATTCATGGAAACAATGTTCTGCCAGACCATCAGCAGCAAAAATTTAATAACTGATATAAGAGGAAACATAAAAACCGAGTGAATTGATTTAAAATTAACATGAATTTAGAATTTATTGAATAATTTTATATTGATGAATGATAAAACTGATGATGCAATTAAAAACTTGAATGAAAAATTATAAAATTAAAAGCACATCAAGAGCGTTGAAAAGTTACAAGTATGATAAGACAAAAAGAAATGGAAATAAAAATAATAACAACTAAAAAAATTATACCATTTTCGTGGAGGAACTGAGTTGCCTGGTTCAGTTCCGACGCATTCTGAAAGGAACTGCCATAAGTGGATTCCATCAGTTCAATAACTTCATGCCTGTAAAAAAACAATTGTAGTTGAGGTAACTAAGAAAGAAATAGTTGAACACAGCAAGCGTTGCCCGCTAAACATGCAGCAAACCAACTTATATTGATCAGCATGGAGGACAGGATCTTTGTTGATAGCTCTCCTCTTCTGAGCAATTATTTTGACAACATTTTGCAGCCTCACGTAACTGACAGGCACCTTCTGATCCAACAATTTCACTCCTTGCTTGTCTGCTTAGTTGCAAGTCATCAATCAATGAGTGAAGGAGTGAATCATATTTTGTGCTGAAATGACTGGCGCCAAAAATCTAGTATATTTACTTAATTAATTATTAGAAAATGTTACATAAACCAATGATCGGTCAGGTTTGATTTGAATAGCTTATACATGGTTTTATAAAAAAAATTCTAATCAGGGAAAAATTATAAAATATTAACCAAGTGACAAATCAACAGCTTTCCATATCATTTCCTGTAATGCCAGGATACTGGGACGATGGTTCATCTTGCACGTGACTTCCAGGTGACCTACAACTTTAGGAAATCCCCATCTTTCAGGAGCTTCGACGTTGATGTACTTTCTTTCTATTTGGCTCTTCAGACCCTCCAGGGCATCAGATGACAAGCTCTTCCTGGCAACATCCAGATGGGTACCAACAATGATCACTGCAGAGTTTGGAGCACGTGCCTGGTGGTGCATGTTCCATGTAGTGCTCGTATATTGACAAAATCCCACAACCAACAACAACAGCCACAACAACAACAGCCACAACAACAACAGCCACAACAACAACAGCCACAACAACAACAGCCACAACAACAGCCACAACCACAACAACAACAGCCACAACAGCCACAACCACAACAGCACAAAAAGTGTTAGGTGCGTGCACTGACTTGTATGTTGATGAGCCACTTGAAGATGTTGTTGACTCCTCTCAACCCATCAGTCAGCCTCCACACCACCAGGTATATGGATCGTTTTGAAAGGAAGTATTGGTGGGTAGCATAATATTCTCTCTGCATGCACAGAAAAAAACTATTGAGATTAGACGGGAAAAAGCGAGACAATTAAACGTCATGTGAATAAATTGACAAATTTGTTAAAAATAAAAATGTAACCTAATAAAAAAAGTATGAAACATATACAGCTCAATATAATTTACACAGCATATGTAGCAGGTGAACCAGTAGTAAAATTGCTCTTCCATCTCAGAAACTGGTAATGTTTCATCCATGAAAATGTATGAAAAATATATAAAAAGGTTTGAGCTGCACTAACTTGACCGCCAAAGTCCCAGGTGCTAAAATGTATTTCTTCCTTCTGACGAGTGAGTACCAACTCAGCAATGTCAACGCCAACGGTGGATATAGAGGAGCCTTTGGAACTGAGCGTCTTCATCGTCCCATCCATGCGCGTCCCCCAGTGCTAAAGAGGATAAAGATGCAAGCGAGTCAAATGAAAGTAACCAGCACATCAAAATTTCATCAATTATCAGAAAGATGTCAGGTGCAAAACGTATTTTTAAATAAATTAAATTCATTAATCATGTTATTAATGAAAATATAAAAGCCATTAAATATGGAAAATCTAAAAGAAAGAACGTTCTGAATGATGTTTTAAAAGATTGCTCACAGATTTACTCTCCCTCTCCCCGGTCAGCATGTTGAGCAGTGATGTCTTGCCAATGCCCTGCTTGCCAACCAGCATCAGCTTCATGTGGCTGTATGGAACAGCTCTGTTCAAATCAAAAGAAATTAACTTCATCAATCAAAGCAAAATGAAATTTTCAATTTCAACAATTAAATTTGAGATGTCATGAGTTGAAACATATTTGCTCTTCAACAATACCACTTTCAAACAATAATTAAAAAAGATGTCTAAACAGTGTCCCAAATATAAGAAAGTCAAACACTTCAATAATATTTTAAGCCAAGAAACTGAGAATTTAAAAACAATTAACCAACTAATGTTTGACAATGCAACGAAACGCATTATGCAAGGTAAATGAACTCATAAAGAAAAACCAACTCGTCTCGAATAGCTCTCAGATATGATACCACAGAACTGACTGTCCTCATCTTGTCACCCAACAAGCACTTCAACGTGTCCTCAACCGGATTGCCTGATAAGTTCAGTGACCACAACTTTCTTAACGATCCAATCTCACATGGCAGCTGATTGGACAAGCAAAATTATTTCCCGAATGTATAACTTGCCATCAACCATAAAGTAAATTTAAATTCAACAAATTTTACATAAATAAGTTTGTTCATCTCATTTAAAAAACATTTAAAATAAAACCGCCAAAATGTGAACAGATCACCTCTTTAATTTTATTGTTTGCCAAATTGAGTGAAGTTAGTTCCTCCTGATAGGAAATATCTTTAGGCACCGATGTCATGATGTTGTGACTCATGTCGAGTGATAGCAAGCTTGGGAAATAGAGTTTTGGAGCTTGCAATGAGAGTTTGGCGGGAGTCTGAAAATTATCAATGTATCCAATAACATGTCAAATTCTGAAAATAATCAATACTATAATTCTATATGAATAAACATGAAAATCAGCATAATTTGAAATTCGTCATTACAGCAGAAAGAGCTTTTGCATTAAATTCCTAACGAGCCAAATACTTATTAAAAGACCTTATCTTCACCCTTGTGGCGGAAATCAAAAGAGACCAAGCAGTTATTACTGAGTGACAGAGTCTTCAATTTGAGCAGCTGGGAGTGGGAAGCATGATCGCAAACGAACATGTTGGGCATGGAGAGAGAAAGATTGGATGCTGATGACCGAGAGGTCAGTCGACCAGACGGAGGAGTGCCCGATACACTCGTCGACCTGGTTCCAAATTTTTAAAAAATAATTACTATAATGACAAATAATACCCACCCAAATTTAAAAAAAAAACAATAATAAAATGGCAAATAATACGCACATAAAACCGCAGAAAGGACTTTTGCACATTTTCGTGGCACTTCCTGCCTTTGGTGTTTCAAGCTGAGAGCGAGATGGGATGGATATTGGTGGCATTCGATCCTCGTAGGAGATGTGATTGCGTGTGAGGTCGAGAACTTGAAGAGACGCAGGGTAGCAATGTATGGGCCCCAGTTTGCTAAGCTGGTTACTTGCCAGGATCAACTTCTCCAGTCTGTAGGCCAGACACGACAGTCCATCAGGAATCTCTTCAAATAAATTAAACGACAAATCTAAAAACTTCAATCGAGACTGGTTCATTCGATTGCTAGCATTCAAGTTTGAATGAATTTTGTTGGGTTTTTTCTTGTAGATGTTTTCATTGTCATCATCTTCTTCATAAAAAGATGGCTGAAATTTTATTTTATCATGCCATCTGTTTACATATTTGTAGACTAGTTCATCTTCTGCAGTATCCTCTTGATTCAGAAAAAAATTTCCTTCAGACTTATTGCCTGCTTTGACTAACGGCGTTGTTTCAGATTTACTATCATTAAACGGTGATAATGCATTTGTAAATGGACTGCTGGTGCTTCTACAGAGGAACCTTTGAGTTATCATAGTGGAATCCGCAGGACAGGAGAGATCAGTCAGGAAGTTGTGAGCCAACCTCAGTTCTATCAATGTACTGCAAGTCCAAACCTCAATAGGAACTCTGGATAACGAATTATATGAAGCATTCAATCGTTTCAAATTTGGCAGCTTGAACAATTCGACTGGCAGCTTTTCTAACATGTTGCTCTGTAAGTTGATTTCCTCCAGAACGGAGTTTTTGAAATTTTGAAGAATACGTGCGGGACTGCTAGATGGTTCGTCCATGCCTCTGCCTCTGTATGTCATTTCAATTGACGATGAAATCACTGAGTCACCATCGTCATTCACTTCCGACTCATCAAGCAATGAACATGAAGTCTCTCTATTACTTTTCCTTCTTTGCTTGCAAAACTTTATTTCTTTTATCTGTTTAAATAATTTTAGCATTTCTATTCCCGAAAAATAAATAATGAAAATAAATAAATAAATAGTTTGAAAATAAATAACAAACCGAAATCAATCATCATTCAATGAGAACCAACTTTGTTGTTGGAAGCATCCAGCTTCTTCAAATTGGATAGTTGAAATATAAAATAAGGCAGCTCTGTGATGGAGTTGTGGGAAATATCGAGACGAGTGATCAGTTGAGTGTAGCACGTCAAGTTACATCTCTGAAAATCTTTGGGGACATTTTTGTTGAAATACTTTCTTCCTACCTCTATGAACCAGTCCTGACATAACCCATTCAAACCAACGCCGTGCCAGTCAAGTTTCAATCCCAAGAGAGTCGATGCAAACTTTTCCCACTTGCCTTTTAAAACTTTCTTATCGGCCACATCCTCAACCTCATCTTCGACATCCAATAATAATTTTTTATTCATGAAAGGGCGGCTCTCTTGATCGAAGAATGAGACGTAAGAAAGAAAAAGTCCCACAACGTGATCGTTGTTCAGACTGATGGCCATTCTGATCGCTTCCTTGTTGTCGTCGCGAGCTCCGTGCATCAGCAGCAAGTCTATCAACTCAACATCTTGTAACTTTGTTGCCTCAAACAGAGGGTTGGTGGTTGATTTTGTTGTCAGCGATGTTGCAACTGATGCTGTCCTGTCAGGCACTTGAAAGTTCTGCGTCGTGTTCAGGCTAGATGGTTTAACTGTTATCTCTAGGTTAGGATTGGCTCTGTTTTGCAAGAGAATTTTAACAATTTCCAGACAATCAGATTTTTCTGAACCCTTGCACTTTTCAACGGCCATATGCAATGCAGTTTTTCCATCATTGTCAACGTCATCAACGTGTACGACGCTGGGTGAAACCGACGCCATCCTCCTGAAACTTCCTCCTCCAGATTCCCTCTTATGGAAATTTATTTCGCTAGCGGCATCGGATTCTTGATTCCTCTCTTCATGAACAGTTTGTTGCAATGTTTCATCAGAAAAAGTTGGTTCTGTCAATGTGAATAAGTAGCGAATTATTTCAACAGAAAAACTCTGGACAGCCAGATGGAGAGGAGTGAGTCCATCTGAATCCTTCATGTTCACTATGCTCTCCAACGGTTCCGTAGAATCTGAAAATTGAATAAATTAGGTGTGTCAGATTAGTTGATTTTAACACTATAAATAAAATAAAGAAATTAAAACATTTTGGCGAGTATTCTAGTAATTTATAGTTTATTACAAATTTATATTTTAAAATTAAACAGTACAAAAATCATGTTTAAAACTGTGTAGACTTATCACATATCAGGAGAATATTATCCTCTTTATCATAAATCAGGATCTGTCGAACAGAAAAAAAAGTTCAAAACTAACATGACTTGAGTGAATGAATGAGGACTTGAACAACTTGTAAGACTTTCTGTCTGCATACAAGGTGGATTGGGTAACTGCCTTGTAATGTTGGCTGGTTGGCATGCTGTGGAAAGGTCTGTATGACGAATGGGAATGTTCAAAAATAAAATACTCCAAATAACGAATAGAATAAAATATATGATAGAAGCTGTATAGAACCTCAAGAAGTAATTGCAGACATTGACTGTGGCCAGTGAGACATGAAATGTGAACTGACGACATGCAACTTGTCTTTTCCACCCTTACCTCTGCTCCGTGCCTCAAGAGGAACTCGCACATTTCTTTGTTGCCTGACCTGCAAGCACTGCATCAATGAAATGTTCTTTTTGAAAAGCTGAACATGCAAACGTGACAAACATAATATGTTAAAATGCAAATTCCAATAGTTAGGAGAATGTACAAGACGTCAGATTATTCGGACCATAATAATATTATAGCAATGTTTCTCAAAGACAGATATTTCATATGCATACTGTTGATGATTGAACAACTTTATAAAAAAAAGAGAGGTGAGCAACCTGTAGAGAAAGTCATGTTCTTGCTCGTCATCAGGGTTGTGGTTGATGATCGCTTTGACGAGCGAGTCATTCAAGTGATATGCATGCAATATTTCTTTTGCAAGCTGTACATTACCCCTTCTGCAAGCCTTTGCAAACACTTTAAAATTATATTTAATTAAAACTGTCAAAAACTTCTGAAAAAATTTAAATTATTAAAACAAAACCAGATTTGTGTTCCTTTAAATAGGTGATTCACAATTTTTATATTCAAATGTATTTTGTTAAAATAACTCTCTAACTCTTACAAAAAAAATAAATGAATTTAATTTTCATGATTTTAATCTACCTCCTTCCGACTCAGTTTTTTTCATCAGGTTAATATCTGAAAAAGTAAGTTGAATCTGAATAGCAAAAATCTGAACAAAAATCTGAATAGCAAAAAAAAATCCAACCAAGTTGCATCTGCAACGATTCAACGCAATCTGTGCTGTTGTGCTCAATAGCAACATCAATGGCCATCCTTCCAGAATCGTCTCTGATGTTCGTCTCAGCGCTGTACTCAAGTAGCAGGTCCACGAACTGCTTCTTGTTTTCTTTTGAAGCTATATGCAAGGCAGTCTGGATGTATCCATTCGATGAAATTTTATAAAACAGTAAAATAGAATTTCTTGAATGAATAAATGAGCTTAAAATATGGAAATGAAAGCATTAAAATTTCAAATTCCATAACCAAACACAACTCAAATAAGCATTAACATAAGATGAGCATGTGCACAGATATCTTAAAAAATAATTATTAATTAAAAACTCAATTGGGACAACACATCCAACCATTCCATTGCACTGAGGTCCACACTGTATGTTGGGATTTGCTGTAGAATAAATAATTATTGAAAAAATTATCACTGTTAGATTTATATTATGTAATTACAAAAAAAATACAATTACAACAAAAAATTTATTTATTTATTATAGCTTAGAAGTAAGATAATATTTCATAAACATGGCATGCTGATCTCCGTGAAATAATTAAACTCACAAATAACTGATTTACAACAATGATCTGAATCAAATCAATCCATCAATCGATGGATTGATTTGATTGATTTGGATTGATCCTTCAAGATTTCATCCATTTTTTGTCAGGTACCAATACTTTTTTATCTTTGCGACTAGATTTAACGGTACACCTCTAATCTAATCTGTAACATCATCCATTCATTTTTCGGCAGGTCTCTTATTGAATTCCTCTTTCTCATTAGTACTTGTCATCTGGCATTCTACAAATCAATCCAATTTTTTACTTTAACCATTTTGTAAAATTTTTTCTGTTTTTCAGTCTGGTTACATGAAATGAAGATTGCTCGCATAAGCATTGTTTCTCCGTATACACCTTTTGAGAAATTTTTTGAATGGTTGTTGTTAATTGTTGTGCTACCGCAAATACACAAACTGTAAACTTGTGTCAGTTTTTCTAATTTAATTTAATATGAAATTCCACACTGTCTTCAATTTCTCTTAAAATCATTACTTTTATTTGCATCTGATAATAATCTTTGCCGCTATCGAGTGTAATCTCAATCAATGAACCACTGTCTGTATACAATCTGCATTAGTTCCATTGAACATTAGCAGATCACAACAAAAGACCTGAGATTTTTTATAGATTTTTCTCTAACTATCATCTATGATTTGATTTGTAAATACTAACTAAATCTAACCAAAATATAAAATAAAAATTAAGAACCTCCAGCCATGAGAAGTAAATGGCAGCACTTTAAGCTGTTGTTAGTGATTGTAGTGTAGAGTGGAGTGCGTCCATAAGAATCCTGGTTGTCAATTGAACATCTGGAAGTTCCTAATAACAGAGATTCCATTAACTCCGCATTGCCAAACAGAGCTGCCTGATGAAGCAACTCACTGCAATCTTCATTATCGTTATCGTTTTTGATCATTATTTTTCTTATCACACTCCAACTTTTGAGTATTATACACTTCTTTTTGTTTCTCGTCTGAAGAAGGTCATAAAGATGAATAAATCATGTAGATGTTAATATTTGTTTAATTTAATTTAAAGTTTATTTTATATTTGATTTAGTTTTATGGTGAACCGAAATGCAAAGCCCAAAAAGTTAAAAAAAGTTTTATTTAAAAAGCTGTTTTCATTGGTGATCATGATGGTGAAAAATGTCCATGAGAAAAAAAATATGATTTACTACATTGATGATTGATTTTGACTTTAATTAAACTCAAATTAATAATCGAATTGAATTTGAACCTGAATGCCCTGAACCTGAGCAACGCTGAATGGTTCAGTTTCAGTGTCAGTTTCACTGAAACTGTGTTGTAGTCTGTAGTGAGAGGAAACAAAGTGAACTGAATGAAGAATTGAATCAGATGGAAGGAATGATAATGGAATCAAAGACAATATCCAAATTTTTGAAGAGTAAAAATGAACAAAATTGAAACAGTCTTGAACAAAATTGTTTCAGGTTATGAACTTATATTTCAGTTTTTCCGAAAATATTTTATAAAAAACTTCCTTGCGCTAAATGTAATTGTTAGCCCGAATGTTGTTTGCTTTGTTTAAAAATGAACTTAAAAATAAAAGAGTTGTACCTTAAATATATTATAATAAATAAGAGCTAAATACTACTACTCAGATACTTGAAAAATATGCTCAGCTCATTACATTAACGTTACTCAAATGACACTCAGATGATATCTGTTTATTGTTCATTTGATCATTTGCTTATCTTTATTTGATTTAATAATTTTGGGGCAGAAGTTTAGTAAAGCTGACGTTAAAGAAATTGCCCAAGAGTGGACATGATCTTTTGGCTTTGACTGACAAAGCTTCCATTTAAATATGGAACATATTTTGTGACACGGATACTTTCAACCTCCGATATACACTTATACACTCACACACAGATGCATTGATGTTCATTTTTTTTCTGAATTTTTCAGGGGCAATTAAATGAAAATGGAAAAAATAATAAAATAAATAACTTTATATGTAATTAATGGTGTAATTTGGTTACCGATGTACTGGAATAGGCAATTGAACCTGTTCAAATTAGCAAAATGAAGGCATTAATCTAAATAGCTAATGCGGTCTCGAAGCGTAAAGTTTGTGACCATCACGAGTTGTTTACCTGCTTTTTATAATTAATTTATTTAATTAACTGTCTTGTCAATGTTCAACGAGTATAAAGAGAAACCAACATTCTCTCTTTTTGTTTTTTATCAGTATTCTATAGTTATATAATTCTACATATTAGAATCAGTTTGTTCACTAATAATAAAGATAAAAAATGATACTTTAATATTTTTAATCAAATTGAGACGTGCTAGTTAAAATCATGACCCTGGTAAAATTAACTTCTTGTTAGTGAAGGAAATTGTGTTTCACGTTGAATATCCTTAAAATTGGGTTCAACGAATTGATGCCAGCGCTTTGTAGGGCGAATAGCTGAATGTGGTCATATGCGTTACTTTCAAATTGAATGGATGTTTATAAAATTGCTTTAAAATGTTTGGAACATCAAGAGCCAGAGATGACATTACAAAGAATTGATTCATTATAACATAACATTCATCTTAATGTAAGGATCTTAATAGGTAGGTAGGTAGTAGTAGGATGTAGGTAGCTATCTTAATGTGATGGATGCATATACCTAACATCCACGCCGGGCGCATGCAGTGGCACCTACTACATTTTCTGAATGAAAATTACCTGAAATGTCATGATGTAATTGGGGTCTAGTTTAAGTGAAAAAAAAAAACAGGAAAACACAAAAAAATTAGAGAATGGATAGAAGAAAGAGATAGATAGAGAAAAATTTTTCACATTTGCAGTTTCTCATAAACAAGAATTTATAAATTGAAGAAGCTAAGTTTCATTTTTCAGAATTATGATCACATCGTATTACACATTTTGATATGTTTGATAAAAGGGCAAATGTAAATTTCATTTATAATCTTTTATTGAATTTTATTTTTTTGAAAAAAAAATAAATTGAAATGGCCCGCTATATATATATTGAAGGGTTTCGTTTATTAAAAGAAGAAATGAAAAAGTTTTCAAGTGGAAAGATAAGTGATTTGAAAACTGAAGAAGCTTAAACGTGTTTCACTTCAATGGCCCGATGAAGATGTCAAAAATTTAAAATCACTAGCGGAAAAAATTACGTGGTATTCAACATTCCTGTCATTCAAAGTATCTAAATAAATTATTTGTTTGTATATTGTGTGTGTGTGTTTGTGTGTGTGTACATGTGTGTTACTCATGAATGAATTTCGCTATTTTTATTTGCATTCATTTGTCAAAAGTGCATTTTAATTTCCGCGCCATGCAACGTAAACGTACCACAAAAATATATTGCATCATGCCTTCCAGCGAGTGCGCATGTGTGGATACGAACTCGTCAATAACTTTTAATTACGACCTCACTTACATATTTAGCTAGTATTTGAAGATATTCAGTATCATTTTTTATACTTTTTCACGTATCAGTGTTGCAATTATAAGTTAAATTTGAGTTTTAAAAATCTGATTGATACGATTTAATCAGTGCTTTTAAGTTCATTGCGCTTGAACAACATCCACACAGAGTTTCGTCAGCGTCAATTAGATTTCTCATCTCTAAGGAGTTGTTGGCGGATCGACTGAATTTAAAATTCAGAAGGTGGGGAATAATTTTATTAAAAAAGTTCTAACAAATGTTAGTTTTTTAAACATTTTCAAAAGTATCGAAGCTAATTAAAAATCACTGAGCCGGCCATCTATATTTTGAAGGCTTCTCTCTTCATTTGTTGCTTGTAATTTGAATCCTTCATTGCCGGTAGGAAACATTCAAGAAATTGTTTGTACAACTTGTGCACGTTCATAACATGTGTTGTACACGCAAGTGGAACATGTTGTCCAAATGTTTCCATGTTTGCTCATGTTTATGAACTAAAGAATATGTTGATGTAAGTATTGGTTTGGAGTAAAGTTAGAGCTGGCTTCAACATTAATTTGGTCCCTAATTTTTGCTAGTAAATAAATAAATAATTTGATAATATGCTGCTAAAATTTTGATATTTTACAAAATGAAACATGTTTCGATTCTAAATATGCAATATTGCCGAATGCGTTTGCTTGTGTATTTATTTGAGCGAATGAGTTTGCTAATGGATGTATATTGCTCTGCTCCACAGAGTCTGATCATGATAAAAAATATAGGAACGTTTGAGAAGACCAACCAAGTATCGATATTCAAACGGTGTAACGCATATGGTACGTAAATATGTACATAAATAATTTCTTAATTAGATGGATATTATGTTATTTTCAGTGATTGTAAACGAACTCTTGCGAATATTTGCCTCTCCACGCCTCCTACCATCCAGCAAACAAATTTGTTGAAAATGTACAAATTGAAAAAGGAAATAAAAAAAAACAAACACGGAAAATAAGAAACGAAAGCTCTTAATCACGTGATGTACATCAGCCCGTTAGGAAAGTGAATGCTTAATGCACTTTTATTAGGCTGCTAACTGTGAAATCATTTTTTAAAAAATTTGGTTAAGTAGACCTAACATGGCACACACAGTGGTCTCGATGGTTAACATTAACATCAAAATGTCGTTGTATCCAATTCAGTATCTTCATCTCCTGTATGCAATGCATTCAACAGTGTATCTTGTCTGCAGTGTAATGAAATGTTTCATTATTGTGCTTGAAAAGGAATAATTGTTGATGTAAATTTTAAATTATTGGTTAATAAAAATAAAATTAAATAACTATAAACAAACAAAACAAACTAACTAACTAACAACTATTTCCAGCATAGAGAACATAACAAAAAGCACATAACAAACTACAAACGATGACAAACAGAGAGTGAGCATCATTATCCAGGCCGATAAATTGATAATAAACAGCCATGCGTTCATTAACAACAACAATTGCAACCTGACTGATATATAGGAAGTAATGAATGAAAATTATTAAAAGCATAAAATATGGATATGAGCAGAGGCGGGTTTGAACCTGGACTATTAATATAACGCCATCCCCTTTTTCTTGAGTGTCGCTGTAGGCCTCATGGAGTCGTGCCTCTTTCAAGCAACCAATCATGCTTCAAGAAATAGTTAAGTTATATAGATATGTTACATGTTATGTATTTGTAATCAAGAGATGTTAGGTAGAGTGCAGACGGCGTTGGTGTTTTTATCGCGGTCCGCAGTCATTATACGTTGGAAGGATTCTCATATATTTTCATTTTTGTGATGTGTGATTATGTAACAATGTTGGGAATGATTGCAATGATTCTAAGATGGCAAGTTGAAAAATATTTAAAACAAAATCAGTTGATGTTGATGATTAGCAAGTCAGTGTATGATGAAAGTGGTGAAGGTTTAAAATAATGTTGATAAAATAATGTTGAAGAAACATTTAATGACTTGTTGAACTAAATTTTTAATTCAAACATCAATGCCAAAAACCCGAATAGCTATTTGAACTTCTGAAATACTTTTTAACTGTGCTGGTAAGTGTACTGTACATAGTATTATATAAATTCTTTATCAATAAAAAAAAACTTAAATATAACACGTCAATGAAATTATTCTTACAATATTAACTAGTTGTACACAATGGTAATGAATTTGTGCCACCTTAGTATTAAGACTGTATGAGTAAAAGAGGATAGTAAGTCCATCAAGTTAATTAAGAAGAGACAGGAAGAATAAATAATGGAGGCAATCTTGAGACCTGTATGGTGTGTAGACTAGACATGTTGACATGTGTCGTTCGTGCTGTAAGGAGATACCGGAATATGTTTTGTGTATTGTGTTTATAAATTTGTAGTTCATTATACTTTCAGCCGAGATATTAAAAAAAGTGTCAGTTATTGGGTGAAATTTGTTACATTATAGTGAAATAAATAAACGAATGTATGAAAGGTTGTGTGGAAGTAATCAAATAAAATTAAAAAGCCTTGTAAGATTGATTTAACACCCTGTTTGCAACGACCAAAAAAATGATTTTTCATATTTTGCATCGGTTTATTTCTGCTCAGTGCTAGATTTAAAGTTAGTAAAACTCATTATTTTAACAGAAAAAGCACTGTCTTACGTCAAAAATCGACCAAAAATAAAAAATCGCCAGCGAAATTTTGATCACACTACCACCAATTAGTCTCTCCCGTTAACATTTTGCCCCAGTCAAAATTTGAAAATTTTCAAAATTCCGCCATCGTTTCTGCTGAAACAAACAAATTTGACAGCTTCTAATATCCTTTAAATTTTTATTTCAAACTTGAATGAAAAATTTGTTTGCGTTTTGAAATAAAAAAAGGCATATCCTTCTTACTAGGTTTTTCTTTATTTATTTATTTATTGTAACACTTCTATATCTTTTTCAATAATAATAAATTTGTCCTTATTATAAATAAAAAGCCTGACAATAATAGTACAAAATTGATTCCATAATAAGTACAAAACTGGAGGAATTTTCCAAAAAACGTCCAACAATTACCAATAATTTGCTCAAATCATAAATGTTCTCCCTTCTCTGATCAGCTTTCTCACTGAAGCACCATAAAAATACAAAAGAACGAATAACTTTTTTATGAGAAGAAATCTTCCTCGCTGTCGTCGCGCGCGTGCATTTTGGATGCATCAGAGTGGAGTGCGGCAGCAATAAATGTTAATCCTCTTCTATCTAGTGAAGATTTTTGTAAAGAATGAAAAAATATTTCGACATAACTATTTATGTATTTATTTATGTATTTATTTATTAGTAAATCATATTTCCTTAGGTCCCAACCGTAAGTAAGAACTAATGCAAAAATTTATACACGCTAAAATTATCAGATTTGGTAACAAATTATAATAGCGGGTTCAAGTATCTATTAAAAAATGCTTGCATTTATATAGGTTTACGGTTGTAATTTTTTTAGTCGATGACAAAAGATGTTTAAGAAATGTTGATAAAGTTACAATGTGATTACATGAAACTATTGAACTGTATGAAGTTAAGAACGCAGCCGTTGAAATGACTCGCGAAGAAAGGAAATGAACTTCAAAATCTGAACGTGTCCTCCAGGATCAGGATGTCAGCCATCATCCTTCTCATCACTGATGCATCTACATCTTAATATTTATTTAGATTGTATGGTCCAGATGAACACCGAATTTTTTTGTTTCATATAAAAATATTAAAAAAATTTATATTTTTTTCAAAATATTAATAAAACCTCGATATTTATACTCTATTTAAAGCCCTCCAGAGCATATTTTTATGGCGCTGTACGAAGTGTTATTTTTTTTAATTTTAAACGTAAGTAACCTGTGTGAAACAAAAAAATTGACATGTAAATAAAAATTTTTTTAAATCGGATACAAGTAGCTTTGCACTGCTGACCAAGAACATTAAAGTTGATGATGATGTGCGTCAATGCAATCATGTCCTCGATGAAAAGTTTGTTTACTTGAGAAATTGGTTACTATATTATTTATGGGTTGAGTTCTCCAAATATTCTCAAAACTGTCAGCTTCAAAACATCGTTCGCTGTAGAATTTGTTGGCCTGAACACCTTGTTTGTAACGTTTAAGAATATGTAAATGTTACAAAAAACAAATCTCTACAAAGATGGTAATGGAAAATCCCATCCTCCTGCATAACTTATCATAATATTGTCCCAACAAACGCTCAACTAAAATTTATGAGCAGCTGTGATGGACAGTACTACACTACGTAACAAAATTAATTTATATTCATTCATAACTTCATCCCTTTTTCTATATTTTCACTTTGCACGATGAATGACAATTGTTGCTGCTAATTTTTTAAAACCTACTATTTGGAAAACACAAATATTATAACATTTTGCTTTCATGAAAACATAAAGGATATGAGTTTCTATTGAATTAAACATTTATCATTTGATCAATTTATATATTTATAGCATTAATATAAAAGTATATAAACAAAATGTAGGTTTACATAATTTTTCAAACATTTTGTAAAAGATGTGTTGACATTTTGCAATAATAATAATAATAATAATATTAATAATAATTTGTAATGAAGCCATAGAAATTATTTTTTCATTTGCATTCCAACAGATCATTTGACGTTTTGGATTCAATCAATCAACTCATGGTCTGCCGGTCGGGTTGTTCAACTGCACTTGCTTTGAATCATTAGATGAATGTAATGCTTCATTTGTGTACACACACACACACACACACACACACACACACACACACACACACACACACACACACACACACACACACACACACACACACACACACGTACACCTACATACACAAATACGGGTACAGAAAGAAATGCGTACCTTACATACCAAATATATGTTGCTATTTAGTGAACAAAGGACGATAGACGGTGAATTATCTTGTATTTTTCAATAGCTTTAAAAAACAACCTGCATCAAAAACAACGAGCATCTCACTTGCGGCAGTCTTAGTTTTAAGACGCAACAAGCATGAGGGTGCTGTTTTCAAAAATTCTTTTATTTGAGTATGTGAACTTTTAATTTTAGAAATTTAGATTTAAAATTAGTTTGTAATTGTAAGTAATATTAGTTGGAAAAACTCTTCAACCCAGCAAATGGCGATGCTGCTATGCAATCACACGAATACTCCACGTCATTCTTTAATTTTTCAATTTATACGCCGACCTACTTGCATTTGTTAGGCTTGCGTCATATTTGGTTATCAACAAGTGGAAATCTGCTGTACATTTTAATATCCATGTACGTACATGCTTCCTTATAATCTATCTTCATCAACAATTCTGAGCCATTGTTTTTTGAAAGACGTATATGTTGATTGATTTTGTATAAATATTAAATTTCAAATTTGCATATATTCAACTGATTTTTAAGTTTGATAATAAAATAAAATTTAAGTTTATTAAAACAACTACAACTTGTTAAGTTGTAGATTATTTTTTTATTTTTAAGTTTATCCTTTTTTTTATTACCTAGCATGAGCTGCTTTCGAACGTTGCATGTGCTGGAGTAATCTCGGTCAGAATGTCGTCATAAACTTCAACATTTTAAACCCATCACATGCTTCATCATTAGTTTAACAGCTCTAATATGAAGTTGCAAGCCGAACGTTTAAAGTATTAATAATGTTGTCTGAATAGGTGAGTGAACGATAAGACCTTATATAAACAACAAACAAAAACTCATTACAAATACACCTATGAACGATAGACTGAAAGAAATTAAAGAAAATTTTGTTAATCTAGTAACCAGTTTGCATTATTTCATTGAAACGAAAGTAAATTTTCGAAGTTCGGCTCGTTTTTGTTTTACCTTGAAAAATCAAACAAGCGTGTACAGAAATTTAAACGCGATGTATGTATGTATGTATGTATGTATGTATGTATGTATGTATGTATGTATGTATGTATGTATGTATGTATGTATGTATGTATGTATGTATGCATGTATGTATGTATGTATGTATATATTACATACACACATATAACGTCGTGTGAAGTGAGCGTATTTATATACGTGTGATTTAATCGAATCGTGTTAATAAAAAAAACTTCCTACGCTTGCTCAAATTTTTGCTTAATGAAAAATTTACTGTAAAGTTATATGGAATAAAAAAACAACTGACGTTTGCATCTGCTCTGCTTGAATCGAAACAATAAGGATGTTAATCATGCTTTATTAGCGGCCGCCATGCATACATCTTTTACTGTACTATATACAACGAATATTACTACATCTGATACTACAAACACAACTTTTACTACTACAATCGCTACTACTACTACTACTACTACTACAACCACTACTACTACTACCACTACTATTACTACTACGCTACTACTACTATTACTACTACTACTACAACCATTACTACTACTACTACAACCATTACTAATACTACTACTAATACTACTACTAATAATACTACTACTACTGATGCTACTGCTACTATTACTACTACTAATACTATTACTACTACTACTACCTACTACTACTACTATTAATGTTTGTTGTTAGTATTAGTATCATAAAGAATATTATTGAAGTTATAGGTGTTACCGTTACTACTACTATAGTATACTACAATACTATGTCAATGCTATTGAATACTATATCTATAGTATTAAATACTATATCTATAGTATTGGATACTACATCTATAGTATTGGATACTATATCTATAGTATTGGATACTATATCTATAAAGTACCCATATTTACTGTTTTCTTATTTTCTCAAGAACCTCCGCGTGATATAAAAATAAGAATTATGATTATATTATGAGATTTTTCGGTGAAAAAATCATAAATTTTCAAATCTCCAGTTGAAGAAAAAACCAATGTTTCAAAAAAGAAAAATTTTAAAAATAAATAAATAATATTATTTTCATTAATTAAAAATAATGAAAAAAATAATTAATAATTTTTTCTAAATTTTTATTCGCGGTTATGTTTGATGGTCAAAGTAAAAATTGCAAAACAACTGATGAAAAATTAAATAAGCTCATCAATTTAATTCGTTTCAGTTAATTTATTGGAATAAAAATCAGAAATTTATTTAATTTCGAGATTAAAAAAGAATTAAATAATTATTTAAAAAATTAAGAATTAAATGATTATTTAAGAAATTAATAATTAAATAAGTATTTAAATTTTGAAATAAATAGTTACTGAACAAACACGTCGTTGAAAAAAATGTCTCAAGTAACTTTGAAGCATTTGTTTGTTCAATGCACTGAGCTTCTTTACTCATCAGAAATTCATCAAGCAGGATTTGTTACCTATCAACTAAAATCATGTTTCTATGAACAAACATATCAAAATAAATGTTGTTTGACTTGAAAAATATTTATTTTTAAATAACTTAAAACTTAAAATTTCATTTTATCTCATTAAATAAAATAAAAAATTGCTTCAATTAATGAAAACATATTCATCTATAACTTTTTAACTCATTTAAATTTAATATTTTGATGCGTTACAAAAATACTGACCTCCAGAATTCAAATTGGATTCAGTTCACCCACACAACCTCCCTTCATTTGGCTGATTAACGTCTTTTGATAATATTTATTCTTTGAAAAGTAATATGACAGACAAGCATTCAAAAAGTTTTAAAAATTTTTGAAAAATTATTCAACAAATTTTTAATATGAAATGTTTAGAAGATAAAGGAAATTATTTTGCCCAAGATTTTCCTCATCAAAGACAAATAAATCGCTGAAGAGAAGTAAATCCTAAATATATAAATACATAGATGACGGATCGCTCACATTTGTGTCATGGTTGAATATGATAGATATCAATGATGATGATGGAGATGTTGATGGTGGTGATGCTTATATTATTGCTATTGTTGTATTATTACTAAGCAAATTCTTAAAAATGTAAAAATGAACATTTTTTTGAAAAATAAAATTTAGAAGAAAAATTGAAATGGGTTTTTAAAATAGATTAAATTTACGAGCGCCTGATTTAAAAACACCTGCACTTTGTAAATAAGATTTATCATTTGTCTGTTTGTTTGTTTTTCTTTCATCTCACAGATAAGTTGGTGTTTCCATAAGACGCTATCAAAATGACGCCAACTCAAATTGATACAAAAATAATTGGACCTTGAAAAATATAAAACATAATATAAATTTTGAAAATTTTTTTATTTTCATTTAATTTGCATGAATCAAAATGAAGCGTCACTTTGAAATTGTCAAGATCATAGCAACAATGGAAATTTATATTATGAAAAAGACAGGTCAAGTGGTTTCAACAACATCAACAAAATGGAAAATATGAGTGCCAATAAACTTTAAAAATGAAGAGGATAAAAGAAAATTTTTTATTTATACATTTCCTCCTTATAATAATAATTGACTATTCATGGGCAATTTTCAGAATGTTATCAATATACAATTATTAACAAACACTGCAGTTCAGTTTTCGATGAAGACGAAATGTTTAATGATGGGTTTGTCTCGGTAAACCTTGTTTTGTTTTTACGTGTGTGTGTGGTTTCAAATTATTGCTTCATGCTACTTCGTTATCGTGTGAACGACCTCGTCATATTTCCCTCACGGCCTCCAGTTCAGCGCGACTCTTCAAACCACAACATGAAACAATCAACGTGCGAACAGATGTATAACAATTGACGTATGAAGTATGATATTGATAATTGACGTGTGTGTATACGTACGTACACCATATATACGTTCACCATATGTACGTACGTACGTACACCATTCATACAATGCTTTTCGCATAGAATCGTTTCAAAAATTGTTCTTCTAAGAACATTAAATAAAAGTTTCACACATTGTCTACACATTATTAAATTTAAACATTATAACTAGAATGAAAAAAAATTTCCTGAAAAAAATTTTAAAACTCAGTTAAAGCTTTCATAACTTGTGCGTTCGAACACTGAAGTACGTGCACTTGTGGATTGAAGATAATGAAAAATAGAAAATAAAAACGTTTGCTCGATGCGGCCTAGTACAAGAATTTTTTTTATTTACCATTCCTCAGAGTGGAGACAAAATTTATGCTGGCCATTAAGTGTTCACATTAAAAAAAGAAACAAAATTTTTTTTTTAAATTGCCGTGAAATAATTCAATTTCCTGACGACCAGCAACAACTCTCCAAGTTATATCGCTGACGCATTTCACGAATGTGAGCGCTTGCCAAAATAGGAAAAATTATTTTCTAAAATTTATTTTATGCACCTCAATAATAACAAAAATATTATAATTATTATTGTTGTTGTTGTTGTTGATGTTGATCCTGTTGTTTTAGTTGTTGTTGATGATAACAGTGCATAGCATATGATATTTCCAATTAACGTCACAGATACTGTCACGTTAACATTAATAATTGTTATGTAATTTGATGTAATCGTAGATAAATACAAGAGCTAAGAAACTTATTTCAATTCCTGTATTGCTCACAAAAGATAAGCATACCAAGCAAGCTATGAAATAACCAACACCTTCTCAATCGTTTATAAAAGTTGAACACTCTTGAGACCAACCAAAAGAAAAAAGTTTATATATTTACGAGATGACTATTTCAATTTTATACGTTCATCCTACTCGTATGCATTTTTTCTGTTATCTTCATCATTGGTTGCTGGTACTATATTACAATTTTACATTCGAAAAAATTGATTTATTATGAAAATACGGAAAATTTTTAATTTTTTTTTTACTCAAAAAAACATTCTACACAAAAAACAGATAAATTTTTTGTAATTTTTGTCGATTTAATTAAAATCAACTGGTTCTGAGACTTTCCACATAATGAGTTCTGAGAACGTGTCGGGCGATATGTCAAGTGTAGTGTTTGAGATTGCGTAGGTTTCACATTCAGAGTGTGGGCCAGCCATGTGTGATCCTACGTCAGATAACAATTAATTCTCCCCTAGTTTTTTTTAATTTTTCTTCAGAACTCTATCAGGTTTATTAGTTTTTGATATTTCGTCATCAAAGATTCTAAAATAGCTATTGTTTGTGTTTGAATGCATTTTTTTGTCAGTAGAGTTTTACCATTAGGTATGTGGTTGTGGTTAACAAGCTGTAACAGCTTTTGAAATAACTCAGCCAAACACAAAAAATATTTTATTTGATTTTGAAACCAAACAAACAAAAAATATCAACATACAATAATATTTAAAACTCACCAACTTCAACACACCTGATGTATAATAGCGTTAGAATTTCACGGACAACATCAACGACATTACCAAAAAACTTTTTCTCGTTATGATTTGACACTTGACATGAATATCCTGGCTCACACACACACACACACACACACACACACACACACACACACACACACACAAACACCTTTTGTTATCATTTATGTTGTGCTCTTCTATAACATGTAGATCAAAAACGTTCATGTTTGTATCAGTAAACAAATTTCCGTCACATCACGATTGTGGCTGCTTATTCAAGGCACTATTTACGAGCAAAATATGAAGCAGCATTCTAACCTACCAACATGGTGTATCGTTGAATGTGAATTTTTTTATGTTGTTTGTGATTGTTGTTATTGCTCGCTGCTGTTGTTGTTGTCTGCTATGTTGGATGTTGACGTTGACATTACGGTATCATGTAGCAAAATATTTCGGCGAAAGAAGAAAAAAGCCCTTCACAATTTCATCTAGAAAATACATGCAAACACAATTTATCCAACGTTGCATAAAACATTTTTTTAATAAACCCTTTCATCGCAGCGTTGTGCGCTTATTCAAAGTTCGTAAAAAGTTGCTCGCCGTTCAAGTGGACCAAAATTTTTCTGAAATTTATGGCCATCCACTACGCTTTGATCACGAGAAACGTTTTAAAAAGTGATTTTAAAAATACTTGTTTCGAAATAGAGAGTATGAATATTTTAGTGCTGCAAGCCAACGTAAAAACTGACCGACCGGTAGAAAGCGATAAAGAATATATGGAAGTTTCCATGGTTCTATAAACCGGGCTTTTAAAATATTTTTAATTGATTTCAAATTATTTAAAAATTTTGCCTTCAAACTAAAGCCAGAAAAAAATACTAAATATTTTAATGTAACTAATTTTTGTTTAATTGAATTGTTTGAAAATTTTTATTTTTGGAAGCTTCCGATAAAGATACGTCGCTTCGAGAAGAAAATTTACCCTGAATGGAGAAGACATGGAAGAAATATTTAACTACAGGTTCGTGTCAGACTGAATAAATTATTTATAACGTAACTGTCTATCAATCTTGAAGTAGGTTGGTACTCCTTCATCATGCAACAGAAATTTATTTTTAAACATAATATTTGCTTTTTTTAAAATATTTAGATAATTTAGCGAATACTTAAAAACTTATGGAACTTCTATGCAGTTGTACCATTAATTTTTGCATTCAATACTAAGCCGTTTGAAACATTCCTAGAAACATTAGGCAACATTCCAAAATTATTTAAGTTTCGAAGTTGTTTAAGTTTTGTTTAAAAACTAATATATGTATTTATTATTTATCAAATATGCAACTATTTTAGCTTATTAGATGTAAATTTTATCACTCCATTGTGTGCAATTCTTATTTAACTTCGTATTTTTGTTCGGCATATTTTTGAATTATAGATATATTAAAATGTATTTTTCGAAATGAATGAAAAACCAAGATAGTTAGTCAACAGCAAGTCTCAAATGGAATGGAAAAAGCAATTCCATAAAAAAAGAACATTTCGTCACACCAAGTCTGCCCTCGCTTCCTCGTAACTCTATCCAAATAACGATGATTTGATGTGCTGAAATATTTCAAATTAAACTTCTAACTACTATTCAAATATGTATATTGCATTAAGTATCAACTTTTTATGTATTTAATAGTAAGAGTAGAAAACTTGTATGAACAGTTTACTAGTTTATTGGTCAATGTATATATCCTTCATGTTGTATTTCATACATGCAAGTATGCGTGAAGCAGTTTCAGCCAAGTAGTAATTTAGTTTAAAAACAGCCATCAAAAAAACTTTCCATGAAACTTTCAAGTTGACTTTTAAGTTGATACTTCAAAATAGAAAGCTTCCAGCAAAAGAGTTTCAAATTATATGGGTTAAAAATAAAAAAATAAAAATGCAGTAAAAAATGCAGTTAATTATTTTTGAACCTCCACATTTCTGAGATTAAAAATTAAATTGAAATTAATAAACATAAATTATTAAAAAATTTTTGACTAATCAATTGAAACCACAAATTGATCATTACATTTTTCAGTTTCATCCGTCACTTAGAGTTAGAGGCAGAGGCACGCTATTGAGACATTTGTTGAACATGCACACATCATCTTGCATGTTTGGATGAAGCAAGGTTACAAATATTCATCTTGTATTCTGTCACATTCAATCGCTAGCCAAGTTATCAATAATTATCAATAAGGTCCTAATCAAGTTAATAGAAGAGTTGCTGTCTTATGACGCGCAGATGTCATTTTGCTTTACTGCCAACGTGTTTATTAGGAATATTTACGGGTGGATAATCTGACTTGAGGTGGATTAAAAATCGAAAATAAAAAATGAAAATAGCTGTGACATTCAAAATAATATTTTAAAATGAAAATAATTATCATCTCAAAACAAACTGTAAAATATGTTAAGTTTATTTAATTTGTTTTAATTATAAGCAATATAAATAACATCGTCAAATAAAAACATAAACACCAGACATAAACAGCAACACCGTATGTAAGCAAAGCAACAACACAACAACGTAGACAACAACAGTCGCTAAGAAACACGCAAGCTTTATCTTTCGTTTCTTCAGCGTATGCAAAGTAGCAGCTACCTACAACATGTCGCCAAGTGAGGCGCTGACTTCTTCCTTGCAAAAATTTGATTGAAATTAAAAACGCTTAATCACTTTTTTTAATCTGTTTGTGATATCGTTTGGCTGTTGTTCAACCAATGAGCAATTACAGTTTTAATTTATTTTTCTCAAAAATCTTTGGCATATCATATGTTGTTTATTGTAAATGTCTTTTAATTATGTTTTTTAGGTTAAAATCTGAATTCAAAGGTTAAAACAATAGTAAATTTTTTATAATTATTTCTCAAAGTATTTTTGTAGAACATTAGTTTGTGGTAATTTCTTGAAACGAATACAATTTATTGTTCACGAAATTGAAATAAATTCTTTCCATTCCAATTACACTATTCAGATTTGTTTTCTTTCACAAAATCACTCCAAATTTTTCTTGGGTATCTCAATGTCAATTAAAAAAAGGATAAAAATGAAAAATGAAGTAATATTATAAATAATCATACGCATCTAGATTTTAAAAAGATAATATTCGCGTTACTAAAAATCTACTTATTAATGAGTTTCGATGTTTATCTCACTCAATGTCGTGGTTTTTCATCAAAATAAATTGAAAATTATTTTATATTTAAAAAAAATTGTCATTAGTCATCTCATGAAAATTAATTTTACGACCTACGGTGATAATTAAAAGAAAATATGTTATCAGATTTTATTAAATTTTACGCTTTAATTGTAAATCATTTATTTGCTAAAGAATGTTCATATATATTTTTTTGTTTTAAACTAACAAGTTGTGTTCGATTAGACTAGTTTATGACATCACCAAAAATATGACTCTTAATGTTTGGACAGTAAAATTAGTGACGATACATTTAGTTGTTTTAGTAGCATATAAATAACATCGTTAAATTCAGTTATTTGTTGATGCCTAACTTGTTTCAGAGCATAATTCGTTGACACCCAACTTGTTCCAGAGACACAATTTGTTGATGCCAAACTTGTTGCAGAGACACAAATTCATCTTGTCTGCAATCAGTCATTGCCAATTTTTATTTTAGTAACAGTAGCCGAGGAGCATCTTGATCATAACACTCCGTTCGTCGGGCTTCGCAAAAACATTTTTTTATGCACAGCGCCTCGATTTGTCATCTCATATTACGTAAACATCATCATTATCGCATCATATTCATCATCATTCTTTTTCTCCTCCTTCTCATACTCCTCATTCTCTTTATTGGAATCATCATCATCATCATCATTTCAGTATCATCATCGTCGTCATCATCGTCATCATTACTGTCACAATCTCCATCTACGCTAGCGCAGTAGTAATTTAAGTAGCCTTATAGGCGCATGGTTGGTCTTTGTACACTTCATCATCGTCGTCATCATCATCGCCGTTACTTGCCAGAATCTTACTATCAATCCCAGAATCTTTATCTAGGCGCATCAGAGTCGCGGTCAAACTAAACAAGATTAAAATGCATGATGGATGCTACTATCGGAACGTTTATATAGCATTTTTTTGAAAAAGCCTCTCAATACACTTAATAAATTGCATTGGAGAAGATTTATAAGCGCTGCTATCGAGTTCTCTTCAAAAGCGCTGTCCATGCTGCTTTTTGTTGAAATACGACGCTTAAATCGGCTTTTGGAAACATCACTGCGACACTCTTCAAACCAGCCGGTTATGAGTTTATGAGTTACAGACTTTGGCAGACGAAACCGAGAACATCTTTGGCCCAAAATGAGATAGTTGGCCTGTAACCTGGAAAAATAAGGTCACCGCGCTTTGCCAACCTCAACCAAGCTCTATCGGGAATCCACATATCAATCATATCAATTCAAGTCTATATTTTTTTGATGACTTGACATCACTTTGGCTGGTCATTGTTGTCGTCACTAGCACACTGCGACGTACTCGTGTCACGAACTGTTCCTCCCCACTAAGCACATCTGAATGTTTAGCATCTATATACAGAAGAAACGACGGAGCTGATTGCGAGGTGAATCATCAGGCCCACCAACCTCGTTCTTCTTATCTTAAAAGTAGGATGACAAAGTATGGTTGGATATTAGATAATCTGACGTTGAACCTCGAACCAATGAGCACATAAGAAGACAAAGTTTTTGTTGAAATAAATGCATTCAATCATTTAAAGATATATATTTTAAAATAATAATAATAAGCTTAAGTAAGAAGATGGAACAGTGAAGCATCACGATTACCAACATCATCATCATCATTCTCATCATCATCGTCATCATCATCATCATCATTAACATCACCTCCGTCATCATCGCTGGTACAAGTTGTTGAGATTTTCATTATTATTGTAAGCAATCAAAAAAACTATTTTTAGATGAGGAAAGTTGAAATGAGAACATGATACCGAACAGGGTGATGATGATGATGATGATAATGATGACGATGGTGGTGATGATGGTGAAGATGACGATGATGATTACGATGACAATGGCGATGACGACGATGACGATGATGATGATGGTCGCCAGGCAAGTAATTATGACAATCACGATGATGATGAAGATTGTATTATTATGGTATCTTAAAAATAAAAATTATAACATCAATTTATAAATAAAATAAATAATTAAAAATATATAATATAAATAAATATTAACAGTTGAGGAAAAGTGACAAGATTAAATTACATTACTCTGGTGTCACAAAAAAAATGATAAAAAACTTATTTACATTGGAAAAAAATAAGCCAGTAAAGGCGTAAATCATCGTAGAATGAATAAAAATAACTTTCAATATTACCTGCTGGGTCAATGGTGTGCAGGTCGGCTTCAAGTGTTTGTACGCGCGCCGCTGTTATAAAATTGATTGCTCCGAGAGGATTTTTTAACATATTAGTTATTCTTATTTCAATTCACTCACTCATTCTTTCGATATATCTGATCTAATTCATACACGGATGGATTGCCAGGGCAGGCTGTAGGTGGTGGAGGTAGTTTTTAATGAACATTTCAGAAGGAGTTGCTGTAGTGAAATGGAGTTAGGTGTCATTGGTGTTATTAATACGTTGGACGTTACCAATTGACAAGATGGAAAAAGTTCTGCTTCTCAAATTTCTACAAATTAATTTCTATGAGTTTCAATTTGCGATTTTAACCTAATGTAATAAAATAAAAACATGTTATACACTGGCATGGAAGAAATAGTCTTGAAATAGTTCAGCTGTGTAAATGTTCAATCAGCGCTGAGGGTGATGAGCAAACAAAAATGAGATTTGTGTCACTTATAAGCCTTCTTATTTGAATTTTAGCTGAAAAATTATTATATTCATGCAAATATGTGCTCTTACACTAGTTTTTTTTTCAACAAACACTTTCAAACACTCGAACACGCACATCTATGTGCGTGTGTGTGTGTGTTCGTGTGCGTGCGTGTAAGTGTGTGTGTGTAGTGTGTGTGTGTGTGTGTGTGTGTGTGTGTGTGTGTGTGTGTGGAATTGCTGCAATACTTCAGGTAATGAAGCTGAGCCATTTCAGAACAGCTAATAAGTAAAATGATTGAATTATTCTTAATTATATATTCCTAATAAATTTATTATGTTTAGACAGTTACGTTGTAATTTTTAGTAGTGTTAACCAGAGTAAAATGACGAAAGTTCCAATGAATTTGTGTTAACCTGTACGTAAACTAAACATTTAAACTTGACATCGCTTTCTTTCTTAAAAGTGCTCAAATAAATTTTATGTTAGTTGATTTATTAATGCATGTTTTACTAGAAAAAAATAACGTTATGTTAATTGAAATATTGGCGTTTATAGATGTTTTCTGTCTGCATACTCTTCAGAGAATGAGATTCATAATAAAACTTATGTACAAAGGTGGACTTCATCCTTGTGAGATGGGCTTCATCATTGTGAGATGGGCTTCATCATTGTAAGATGGGCTTCATCATTGTAAGATGGGCTTCATCATTGTAAGATAGGCTTCATCATTGTAAGATGGGCTTCATCATTGTAAGATGGGCTTCATCATTGTAAGATGGGTTTCATCATTGTAAGTTAGGCTTCATCATTGTAAGATGGGCTTCATCATTGTAAGATGGGCTTCATCATTGTAAGATGGGTTTCATCATTGTAAGATAGGCTTCATCATTGTAAGATGGGCTTCATCATTGTAAGATGGGCCTCATCATTGTAAGATAGGCTTCATCATTGTAAGATAGGCTTCATCATTGTAAGATAGGCTTCATCATTGTAAGATGGGCTTCATCATTGTAAGATGGGCTTCATCATTGTAAGATAGGCTTCATCATTGTAAGATGGGCTTCATCATTGTAAGATGGGCCTCATCATTGTAAGATAGGCTTCATCATTGTAAGATAGGCTTCATCATTGTAAGATAGGCTTCATCATTGTAAGATGGGCTTCATCATTGTAAGATGGGCTTCATCATTGTAAGATGGGCTTCATCATTGTCGTTGTCGTTCTCATTATTGTTGTACATGGCTCTTCAAAACTTAGCCGTTGTCGTTCAGTTCGTAGTTTGATACTTTGGTTGTTGTGCATCGACGCTGTGTTGTAGCCGTCCCTGTTGTGATACAACTTGCTTGCACTCCACATACAGATTTTTTAATTTTGTACTAAACATGAATTTATTATGGAATGAAAACTCTTACAATTTTTAGATTCACATTCGTTCGATAGTATTCAACCGAACGAGCTGGCTGGTGTTGTTACATTTCAAGATTGAACTTTGTAGGATTTTGAGAGAAGTAAAGAAGCGGAGAGCAAAATTTTGTTTAACACGAGGAGATCCACTTGATGCTGAACAATGATTGAATGAACGAATGAACGAATAAAAAAATGAGCAAATGAAGAAACGAGTGGAGAGAAGGTACATGAGAGAGCAAACGAATAAAAGAACGCAAATAAGATACGAACGATAAATTGGGCTAACTAAAGAACGAATGAATGAATGAATGAGCGATCGGATGAATGAATTAACGGACGCGCGAATGAATGTTTTTTGAAATTTTTTTCCTTCTTGTTTAGTGAGCACTTTGTAAAACTTCTACAAATCGCATGCAACTACATGAACCAAAAATTTCTTACATAGCTCACTTGAGCCATTTAAATCATTGAATACTCGAGTTTTGATGATTTTTAGTCTTTTCTTTCAAATGACGTTTTCTAACATTTCCGTGTTTACCCCTTAGAAGCACTTTAAAAAATTGCTCCTAACGTGGCTTATTTCAAGCGGCCTCTCCTGCTTGCACGGAAGCCACGCAGACGATCAATCAGACATTCCTCCACTTCTTTGCTTCCACCGGCGTTTTAATTTAAAAAAAAATTTTATTTAACTATTTTTAAAAAAGAAAAGTTTTTATTAACTCAAAAATAATAACAACAATGATGTTAACAGATAATAATAGTACGAAAAAAACTATGTCGTTTGCAAGCCATCGCAGTGAAGTTTTGGAAATGTTTCCGCCCCATTTCCACCACTTTTCCTACAATCGTCTCGTTTAATTAATATAAACATGAAGTTTCTATTGCGCGTGTGATCATCATCCTCAACAGCAGCAGCAAACAACTCCTCCATGTCACTTGGTGTGTCAGCTGCTACATCTCAGCCTAAATAAATAAACAAGACCACTATCACCACCACCACCACCACCATCATCATCATCATCATCATCATCGTTACTATCATCATCGTCTTCTTCCTCATCATCCTCGTTCTATAATGTGGCTTTTGTGATCTTCCACTTGTCTCCGTTATGGCCGGGCGGGAGCAAATATTTTGCTCATTTGAGTTCACAATAAACAATGCACGCCTTTTTAAGCTCCTTTAATGCGTAACATGCTGTCTTTCATTTTATAATTAAAAACAAGGAAACAATGGTTTATAAATAAATTTATTTACAGGTTGTTTGTTTTTTCACTGAAATATCAACAAACGAAAATGCACCATCAAAATTAATATGCAAGTTCTGTTTACGAAAATATAAAATGGTGTTCGCCAAACATCAATCATTTTTCAAAAAATAAAAATAACAGTTACACATTTATAACGATTGTACGCTGCACTATGTGAGTGATTGTATTTCAAAATGTTCCGTGGTTTTTATAATTAACAACAAATTTAACAGCCAAGTAAAAATGAATCAATAAATGTTCAAGTGCTCATAGAACTTATGAACGTCTTGCACTTACCGTTACTATTCACAATGTTGATCATGTACATCGTTCGTTGTCTTCATTTCTTTTTATGACTTTGCAGCAGCATTTCATAGTACGTCCACAACTGAACTGCTTCTTCGACTTTCTCCTAACACTCTGCGTGGTAGCGTTTGAAGTTCTATCGTCCAAACTACTTCGCTTGGAAATGGCCGTAGCAGGCCAGCCGATCGTGCTGATTCCTCCGGGCAACATTGATTTCAACGTCAGTCTGAACCTTCTACTGACTGTGCAGTAGATGAGGAAGTTTACAGAGCAGCTGAACGTGAGGAAGACGTTGCTGATGTTTGATGATATTCTTCTGTAAAACGACAGTGAACACGCATAACTTTTTGAGGTCAGTTCCAAACTGTATAGAACGTGGGATATCATGGCGGCAATGTCGCAGACGATGCAGACGCTGACGACGAGGACGGCCACCGTGGTGATGGACCTGGTGACTTCAAAGAGAGATTCGTGGGTGCTGACGGATGAGGCTCTGTTGATTCTCGATAGGTTGCTGGAGAATGCGGAACGATGTTGTCTCGAGGTCCAACGGAGCGTTAAAAATATTCGAAAGTTCATCACTATCAATGCTATCAAAGGAACAAAGTAAATAAATAAAAAATTAAAAATTATTCTAAACGCAAAAGTGTAAAAGACGTTTGACATTATTTTAGTTTGTTGAAAGCCAGAGTCTTTCACATCGAATGGAACAATTTCGTACTCGAAGAATTTTGGAATGGAAACAAGGACGACGATGACGGTGGTGAAGAAAATGAAGCATTTGGTTCTCTTGGTGGAGCAGATGCGCTGCGCGTGCAGAGGGTAGCATATAGCGGTGTACCTTTCCATCGTCAACAGGACCGTCAACCAAACGCTGACCATCTTAATTATGCAGTTCACTGGAAAAAGCCAAACGAAAATATAGCGGTGGAAGTGTTCATAATTTGGAATTCCGATGTATCTAAACGAACGCAAAATTGTTGACGATAACAAATTCGATGTATCGAGAATTGTGATTGCTTTCAAGAGAATTGTGGTGACTGGAGATTGTCTGTACCTGAATAGGGCCAGGAGAGAAAGACTGTTGCCAACTAACCCAAAAATGACCATCGGGAATGAAATGTAGACCTCACATATCAATCGAATTGGAGCCATGTAGGAGTCCAACTTTGACATTGAATTGTTACATGTTGGTGGAGACGATGAATTAAATAATTGTGTAGATGATGAAAGATTGAATAATGATGAATACGATGACTCATTAAATAATGACGAAGACGATGAAATATTAAATAATGATGAAGACGTTGTTGATGATAGCATAGTTGATGTTGTAGTTTTTAAAAACTTTAACTCAAACGACATCCAAGAAATAATTGAATTGTTAACATCCGACGACTCTGTACACTATACAACTACCAAAAATGATTCAAAATTCATTGAAATTATTCTAATAATTCCTCGAAATTCATCGAAAATGCTTCTATCAATAATCAATCGAACAAGTCTAAATCAAAATTTGTTTTGTCTGGCTAGTGCACATCGACGATGAAAATTTTATCCCCAACCGTCTGCGCTACATGTCTTCCGCCTTCCATTTATTGGCTGTAGTACAAGCACTGTTTCTCATATATGTAAATAAACATACATATATATATATATATATATATATATATATATACCTATATATTTTTATATATACAACGTCCTGTTATATATACATGCAACACACATTGGTTTGTGGCATGCATAATGATACAAAAAGCACTCTAATTAGATATACATATATATATATATATATATATATATATATATATATATATAAATTATTTACACGAACATCAGTAACAATGATATTATGGCAATAATATTGAAAATAAAAACGAAATGTTTGTTGGCTAGTTTCAAACATAAACACGTAACAAAATAAGCATGTAAAAATGAAAACATTTTAAACAAATGAACACGTATTATACAAACGAATATATAGTCCGAAATAAACTCATATTAAACAGATAGAAACGCAAATTGACTCGTATGAAACAAATGATTACATATAGAGCAAATGAACCAACAGTAAACAGATGAACGAGCAGAGGAAACAAATGATTTGAAATAGATCAAGTGTACACACAAATGAAAGCAAAACCATCCCCGATAATATTTTTTTTCCTTGTTATTTGATGAATTAGAACAAGCCTGCAGACTTACTTGCTTTAATCATATAACATTAGCTGTTGATCGTATGACGTTCTTAGCAGATACGATCGCTTCTTCATTGGCTTCTGATGAAGTTTTAGTTTGTTTTTATTTCATTTATGACCATTGTTTAACAAATGAATAAACATTGGTCAATTGTTCACTTTTTATTCAGAGAGTGTATAGCTAAATTAATTTATTTTCTTAATGCTGAACAACAAAGCCAACATGAAACTGAAATCATATCATAATTTATGTAATAAATGCTTACAAACTGTAACATTTTCGTTTCATTTTAAATTAATTGTTAATCGAGCAATAGTTATATCGTTACAAGTTCACGTTTATGAAAAACCGCAACCAACTAAATACGTAATCACTAATCTTCTGCTTTAATTTTTTATAAATTATTTTTATATTAACTTGCTAGTAACAACGGTTATCTGGCTAATTTATTAACTCAGTTGTTAGCGTGGTAGGGCAGTTTGTTGGATGCAGGCATGATACATTAAGTTCTTATATTTAATCCATTCAATTTTTATTAAATTTACCTGCACCAGCAAACTAAAAATTTTGACAGTTATTTATCCCCAATGAAAACCATCGTTTATACAAAAAATACACACGTCATAACAAACGCTCGTTGACTGTATATAGCTAACAAATGCCAACTTATCATATTTTCAACTTTGTAGACATGCAATAAAAAGCATCTGAGGTTGATGCACTGCAGAATTTCTTTTCAACAGGCTGAAACCACGCACTATAAACTCATTTTTTTTCAGCATAAAACCTTTCATGTCTTCACTTGAAATATTAAAAATATTTTAACAAAACTTCAAATTATTTCAAGTGTTCATGCGAGTAAACAATTTTTAGAAGGTTTTTAAATACTTGAAAGCACAAAAGCCTCCTAACAAAACAGCCGAACTTGAAAACTCTGAAAAAATATTTGAAAATGGAAATTGTTTTAAAAATAGTTTATTTTGTTCTAGTGTTGTAATAGCTCTACTCTGTTTAACTAAAATGTCTGAGACTTCTTTAGCTTTCATGTTTTTATTCAGAAAAACAGACAAACAGATAGATAGAACGATAGACAGATCTATTTTGGTCGCAATTAATTCAATTCATGGTTCCTTGTTTGTAGCGCCTCTAAATGATTTATAAATCATTATAATCTAACTTTATTCGGACATTTCATTTATTTTTCAACAATTTTCTTTCATTTAGATTATGTTCATTTATCTGGATGTTCTATTATTATTTTCTGTGCGTAACAAATTGTAATAAAAATGTTTTAATTTTGCGATTGATTCAGTTCTTAAAGAAATTCCTAATAATTGGAAACTTTTAATAATATTCGTTCATTAAAATTTTCGTTTTTGCTTAATTACCACCGTGCAACTATATTTTTTGATAAAAACATATTTTACAATTCATTTTTGTTTGTTGTGTAACAAATTTTTAATGATTACTTTTCACAATTTTTTCACTCTTCCTCTGCGGCATCAACAACAACAGCAGCAGACATACATTGCATTCAACTACACGTCAATCAACCCATTATACACATTGCGTGTAATAGGCGTGGATCCTTATGCAGTCGAACCCGGTAACTTCAACGGCAGTGCCAGGCACTTGAACCATTGCACCATTGAGCTACACCAAGAATGTATGTTAAAATAGGAGCACAATAAATTTATCAGCAGTAACCACAGGCTTAATGACTCCGATGACGAACTCGTTAATAACAATTGAATGAACAATTGAGACAGACAATCGAACCATCAACACAAAAACATTAAACAGTTAAAAAATTACAAAAATATTCTTTTCACAGACATCACATCTAAAAACATATTCACAATGAACGCCGTGCACAAAATCACAAACACAAAAATTATCAATTAAGAAGTTATCGTCTGTTGGAAAAATTTCTAAAGTTCATGGGCCATTGATTTATTTACTTTTGTTTTGTAAATGCAGTGCGTGAAGTTTATAATAAAGATGGTTTATTTTCAATTCGCAGAGCAACAAAACTATTAAAAAAGAACGAAAACAACATGAAAAAAGTTTTTGGCTAACCTCATAAAAGTCCTCATATAAAAGTGTGTTGGAATCATTAAAAGTTATGAATGAATTTTTCATGGAAAGAACATGCGTCGTCTTTTAGACATTTCTACGATAGATGCAACAAACATTTATGATGTTGAAAGCATGCGATGGTGAAGATGAAACTAAGTGTTTACCATTTAACATCTAACAGTTTAAAATATTTATGTTAGCTTCTCACTCGACCTAACCTCCCACGCACGCAGGCAGCCGCGGTACAGCATATTTCATCTACCTACATGTATGTACATGCAATTCTCACGCAATTCAAGTGCGCTCTTCAATAATAAAAAACTTTTTCAAACGTTCTTGTTCCAGAGTGTTCTGTTGAAAATATGTAAAAGTTACCCCTGTTGCGATGAAAAAATGATACTTGAAATGGAAAAAACAACTTGTTTTGGAAGTTTAAACGAATATTTTTTAAGACTTTGTGGAGATAAATAATAAAGAAATGTTTGAGACAAGTTGGCAGGTCAACAATTTTCTTTCCTCGAGTTCATCATCTGATCTTTATTCACCTCTCATGATTGATAATCAATTCATTATTCAAACATTTAAATAATTCATATAATTCAATATCTTTTTTATACAATTCTGCTCCGTTTTCTTGTTCATTATTGAGTAACGCAGGGGTGGGCAATTTTTTGCTGTGAGGCCCTCATTGAGAACTATTTGACTTTTGAAAGGCCACATGGACCGCATTGAGAACTATTTAACCTTTGAAGGGCCACATATTTATTCAAATAGCAAATTTTTTGGACCTTTTTTTTGTCTCGTAATATATGGCTCTGACGATATTTTTTGGTCGAACAAGGCAGAAAATGGCTTCGTAGTTTGCCTACCTCTGGAGTAACGTATTATCTTATCGATTTATTGTTTTGTATTTGTTAATGAACAACGGAAACACATGTTAATAATATTTTTAGTATTAAAGTGCATCGAACAACAAAAATTGGAATAAAAGGAAACATTATGTCGCTTGTCCTTTAAAGTCGATGAGGTTGAATAAATGAGAAAAGTGTGTAAAAAATTGAATCAATGAACAACAGAAACGACAGTTAAATGATGTGGCAACAATATTAAAAGTGACATAACATTAAGAAAGATTCAAAATAACAGGACAGAATCATATTAATCTCATTCAATATTATTAAACTGTTATATAAATTTCATCGTACAGTCTGCAAATGCATAGGTACTATTACACAAAAACGTTATAAAACCAATTTACGTCATTGTATGCATGTTTATTTAATCAGTTTAAAAATCTCCCCGTGAAGCTCGCAAGTCATGTACTGTACACATGCACGCATTGATATTATTATAATTTGTATCTCATTTGATCCTCCAAATGAATGGATTTGTGATTAGCTGTGTCGTAAAGAACAAAGATTGATCTGGTGATCTATTTATTTATTACATTACGATAAACTCTCAACCAGATGGAATGTTGTGTTACAATAAAGAATGTTATGTTACAATGACGAACGATTACATACAATGAAGATTGATTAAGAAAAAATGTTGATACTAAAAAATCTTACACCTGGTAAGTGATTTCAGAAAATTATTATTTAACGACGTGCATTGACAGTTTTTAAAAGCACACCCAGAAACCAGCAATCAAAGTTTAGAAAAGAACATCTAGTGCCTCACAACGAATGAAAGAAATATTTTGAAATGTTTCAATTGATATATTTAACACAGGAAAATAAATCGATTAATATAATCAATCGTATTGTGCTGTTTAATATATTTATGTTTAAACAGTTTGACAGTTTCGAATAATAATTTTAATTAAAAACCTTGTCCTCAACACAATTTTTACAAAGTTGAAAAAATTTTTGGTAGGTAATTCATAATCGCTTGTCTTACTTTTCAAACCTCATTGCTGTTTCAGGTTTGCTTTATTAGAATATAATTTTGCTTAATTACTTCATGAACAATTTTTGCGACATGTTTGATTCAATCTCATTAAAAAATCTGTTTAAAATGAGCCTGAGGCTCATATATAAATATATATGTTTACAACATTCACATTATTTTCCGTAATTTCTAATATACATACAATTTATTAGTGTGTGTGCGTGCGTGCGTGTGTGTGTGTGCGTGCGTGTGCGTGTGTGTGTGTGTGTGTGTGTGTGCGTGCGTGGCAATCGTTTGTTGTTGTTTGTACGGAAATGAACTGCTTCACCATTAGAACGTTTTAATATAAAGTTGTTTAATTTCCAATTTAAAGCGCTTACAGAAATAAATTCTCATGTCTGTCTTGGCATAGTGATTCGCAATTTCTTAATTACTGAACTAATTTTTGTCATTTATAATTTCAAGGGCCTGTTTATAAAACATTACAAAATGTGAATTCATGGATTTCGACTGTTGATTAAACAAATGTTAATTAATCTAAGTTTTTTTCATGTCATTACGAATAATTTTGATTAATTTATTGTAAGAAATTTTAAATTTACCTTCAATATAAAAAATTATATAAAATTTTTGGGAAATTTGAAGGAATGAGCTACTTGGTGTAAATGAAGAAAAAATAATCTGGCTCCATTGTGAGTTTCTTTGCAAAGGAAACACTTGTACGGATCGTCGGGAGTGTGGTAATCCATGTGGAACCCGTAAAGTACTTCATCGTCAAAAGTGATCCTGCAGTAATAGCACTTAAATTTTTTTGCCTTCATTGGACTTTTAGCCTTTTTATCATCGTCGTCTCTTTTTGTGCAATGCTCAGGTAAATCATTGTCCGGTGAATTTTGTCCTTCTGATTGACTCGGGGCTCTGTTTGTTGATGAGCTCAAATCTAACGGAAAGAGACATGAGCTTTCTTGTAGTGTCGACTGTTCTAAATGGCGTGTTTGATTGTTTGGTGCATTGTCGAATTTGTTGTTGTTGTTGACGAGTGTTGAGGGATTTTCAATAGAAGTTGAAGTTTGATTCTTCTTGTCTACAAAATCTGGAGTGTTGGTACTTTGTGGAGTTTTTCTGAAATCAGATGAAGGACTCTGCGGTTCATTCTTAAAATTGTTCAAAAGGGAGGGCATAGATCGGATGGAAGAAGTGTTCTCCGTGGTATTTTGAAAAAGTGGCATGGGAGAGGATAAAATGTAAGACATTAAGGAATCGTTGGAAAACTTAACTGGAGAAGTTTGCTGCATCGACGGATGATTGTTTGGAAAAATTTTGTTTCTCAGTAAATATTTGTCCAAAGGAGATATTGTCTGATTTAAATTTAGCTTGGAACATGCGTTTGATTCAATCATTTCCCAAAAGTTTAATGTGTTGATCTTGTAATTATTTATTACATCTTCTAATGATGTAAAATCATTGATATTTTCCAAATTCCTGTTGACATCTCTAGAGTTGAAATTTTTATTTTTAAAGGCAGTAACTGACTTTTTCTGAAACTTGTTCCATTTTTCTAAATGGAACGATTTGTTGTTTTCCTTTGACGAGACGTTGCTAACATTTTCATTGAGGGTATGATTGGTTTTTATGCTGTGAATGTACAAGGCTTGTCTGTACTTGGAGGCATATGAGCATTGTTGACATTTGAATGGATATTCATTGGAATGAGACTTCAAATGGCTGTTCAACATCGATTTATTGTTGCAACGATAATTGCATAGTTCACATTTGTAGGGTTTGAAGCCGAAATGATTGTTGAGGTGGTACTGCATATGATGCTTGAAGGCGCATACGAATGGACAGCGGGGGCAGGAAAGAAGTTTGGAGGCAGGCACATGTACGCGAGTATGCATCCATATGTCTTCCTGCGGTGTAATTGTTACTTCATCATTGTAAGTTGTTGTGTTGTTGTGTTAGCAATGTGAATTGTTATTGTGTGTTGTGTTGTTATGTTAGCAATATAAATTGTTATTTTGTGTTGTGTTGTTATGTTATCAATGTAAATTGTTATTGTGTGTTGTGTTGTTGTGTTATCAATGTGAATTGTTATTGTGTGTTGTGTTGTTGTGTTATCAATGTGAATTGTTATTGTGTGTTGTGTTGTTATGTCGTTGTTATATGTAAGTTCGCATTATATTTGTCTTAAAATAAAATAAAAAATAAATAATTTGTTATCAGCACATAGGCTGCTTATTTCCTCGATGTGTATGTTTACATGGGTTTAATTTTAACTAAATGATAGAAAAGTCATGATAGAGATAAATAAAAGTTTAAAGAAGATATTTGATAGATGTCATTATTATGTACAAACTTGAATCGTGGTTGAGAAGGAGCACTGCTTGCAAGTGTACTTTCTTGACCTTTTAGATTTTTTGTTCTCATTGTTGCTGCTTAAAGACGTGTTCATCATGCGTTCCTGCTCAGACTGGCTGGAATGATTTTCACTCAAATGTTTGTTCAGTCTGGCGTTACTTCGAGTCGTGAAGTTGCAGACCAGACATCGGTATGTGGAATGAATAATCTGCAAGTGCTGGTTCAGATCTTTTTTCGATAAACCTGAATCACATGGAAACACAGTTTATTGAGTTTACGTATAAAGCAAAATTTAGCATTAGAGTTATTTAACGCTGAGAATAAAATAATTTTACATTCGCTAGGTGTTTGAACAAATGTTTTTTGAAACAAGTACTTTTTTTATACTGAGCTTTCTAACACGTAAAAAGTAGGAATGAATAAAATGATTGGGAAGACATCAAATATTAGAAAAAAAATGAAACAACACTTGATCATTAATAATTAAATGCTTGGCGTCACCTTGAATAATTTATCAGCCATGCATGTCGTCAGGTTTTCATTGCTTCAAAAAACAGACTCAATAAAAATGCGGCTTTGTTCAATTTATCAGTTCATCATGCAAACACATATAAATCTTCATTACCCTTACAAACCAAAACTTTTCAACAAACTAAATGTTTCATATTTAATAACACTAAAAATTATTTCTATACTTGTTGTATACTTTACTGTGTGGCATTCGTGCAATTGAATTTCTGGCAAAATCCCAAGCAAATAACGATACAATTTTCAACTCACGATTTGGCTACAATGTCATTTTCATTCAAGCTTATTTGTACAATGCTAACAAACCAACATAATTTTTCTAATTACGTTCCACTCAATATTGATGTAAGGTATGAAAATAATTTTTTTGAAAATCGAAATTAACTGCTATGTTATTGATAGAACGCGTGTTATGCTTTAGTTACATAACGCCGCAAACAACATGCATCATACTTACCTACTTAATGTTCATATATATATATATAATACATAATTACATACATATACATAACAAATACATATAGTAGGAGTTTTTTCAGCCATGAATTGGATCAATAGAATTCAATGGAACAATGTGAGGTCATTAATAATTTTTTCAATAGACCTAGCAATAAATTATTGTCGTTCGTTCGTTCGTTCAATTTCATTCATTTTTTTGTCATTATGGACAATTTTTTATTCCATTTCCCATTCAGCGTCTGACGAGCCACTTATTGAAACGAAAAATAAGTGTAAAAATATAATTTATCAAACTTTGCGAAGTAATCAAGAAAAATGAAGAAAGCAACTCAAGTTGATGGTGATATTATGTAGAATATTTGCCGGTCATTTGTCATCAGTTTTGACTGCAAAGGATGTAGCCATGTAAAAATATCCTTCGATACGCGCTCACATAAAATACTCCATCATTCGATATGATGCGAGTGTTGAATGCGTTGCAAGTATTACTTACATAATTTTTATTTATAATTTATCTTTCGTCGTTTCAAACGTCAAAATGAATTGGAATAAATTAGGAAGTTAAAAAGGTCCATCAGAAATTTAAAAATGAACCAAGCGATGATTTGTAATTGTTGACGATGGCCGCTGAGTTATGTTCACGTCAGCATTATTTACCGCGCATTCGGAAAAGGCGCTTGATAAATGAGTGGCGGCCAAGAGTTTAATGATTTCAATTTTGATATTGTTTTGAGTGAAGCAGCAGAAGAACACAATGACATTCACACCATTCATTAGCTTCTCTCGTCCCATTCATCAACTTTCCCATTCTCGGCTTCTCTGTCTCGTACCAAAAAATTAATCGCAAAATTAAAGGAGAACCAAATTTATCACATTAACAAAAACTTAACGTTCACATATACACTCACATACACTGTCATACACTCATGACTGGCATTGTAACATAGACGTTTACTGACATACACTTACATACACACACGCTGATGTACACACATACTCATACATTGATAGCACACACCACACACACACACACACACACACACACACACAACGAAATAGACACACTGACACAAACACACAGTCAAACACCCGCTATTTTACTATGTACTTCATTTTATACACGTTTAAAATCATACTACAAGCGTATATAAATTCGTACGGACACACATATTATTTTTTCATTTTCAACAGTTTCCGTATAAAAATATCATTTTTGATTGATGTCTTAATTTATAGTATGCAAACATCTTAGACACAATAAATAAATTTTTTATAATAAAATTAAGATTAAAATGAAACACGACAAACTTCTGTACCCGCCGACAAATTAACTGAAAGTTCCATCATAAATTCCAGCTCACTAATTCGAGCCATTGCAGGATTATTGTGACTAATATCATCAGGGACCTTGCAAGAAGAACCGATGTGATGAAATGAAGGAACAAGTTTTTTAAGCTTGGGCTTGATTATTATGATTATTATTGAACTTCCACAAACAAATTTGTTTAAATTCTTGTAAACTATTATAAGCGAATGGTGATTTTAAATAGCTGAAATGGAATATTCATTTGAATCTTTTCCAATTGAGAAATGTTAAAAATATTTGCATTTGTTGATAATAAAGATGAATAATTAGTCTAATTTTAAAAATACGCATGCAATAATATACGCGTGAAATAAAAAATGTTGAACAGATGAAAATGTAAAATCGTAAATTTCATTACATTCATCAGAATGCTAAATATACATTTTGCCTAGAAAACGAACAAATTAATAAATTTCGTGCATGAGCGTTTCGTTCAATTTGTTTTTATATGAAATATCTTCTGCATATCGATGCCTTTGTGTTCAAAATTAATTTAGTTCAACATCCTGTAAAAAGATTAGAAATGAACCGCACGGAAAATGCGCTGCAAATAAACTTTTTTGTCCACAAATTACTAATTCAGAAATATAAAATAAAATAGAAGCGTGAACCTGAACATATTCTGCCTGGTCACTGAACACTCGGCCAGAAATTCACGTTTATACGTTGAGGGAAACATCAAACTGTGATGGCCATCCCATGATGCATGCTGATACGCTAAAAATTAAAATTATCACTAATACTTGCTGTCATCGTTGCTTCGTGATAATTGGAAGGTTGCATAGTTTTAATTTAGGTTTTGTAAAATTGAGAAAATTTTGATCTGACTTAGTGAAATCAGCTCAGGAATGCTAGGACCTGCAACACATACGGAGGGCATTGAACAGTTTATGAATATCTATACAATATAACCCATCTTTATAACATATTATATAAATGTGTGTATATATGCGTGTGTGTGTGTGTGTGTGTGGTGTATGTTGTGTGTGTGTGTGTGTGTGTGTGTGTGGTGTGTGTGTGTAGGAATATAAAAAAAAACAAGGACAACGTCCGTTCTGCATATTAAAAAATGCAAATAAAAACAAAATATACGTGTTTGTAAAAAATCAACAAAATATGAACAAAAACCTCAGAAAAGAGACTTCAAGAAATATGTAAACAAGCAAATATCTGAAATATCTGGCCATAAAAAGTCACTTGTAACGCTTACTCTTATAATCCAAAACAATCTCGAATTGAATTTAATTAAACCTGCCCATGTAATCTACATCAGTTGTATATGTTATATACGTGCATGTGTATGTGTATATTTTGTTGTTTATTGTGTTAGGCTGTTGAAAAATGGAACGGACGCGGACCTTAAGTAATGCGTCACAAAACAGACGACCGCAGAACCATTGACGCTTTTAACTTTGACAGAATTACAAGTGACTATTTATCTGTGAACACTGAATATTTTCATTACTTCATCGTTACGGGGCACGGAGTTAAGTTTGACTTTCGAATTTAATTTAAATAATGGATTAATTTTTCTAAGAAATTTCAATTAATACTTATTAAAGTGGCCGAATAAGGAGATGAAAGATGTGAGAAGGCGTTAATGCATAAACTGATATATGGTACGTATTGTCTGTGCAGAAAGTTCGGATGGGGCGTGTAGATCAATACAAAAGGAACATGATGATTGAGAAGAGGAACAAAATTAGTAACATTGTAAAATTTGAGTGAATATTTAAAATTTGAGTGAAGGTCAATTAAAACATTCCAGAATATTAAAATATATTAATCTCATTCTATAAAATATAGATTCAATAATGCCACTTAATGTTGAAAATATCAAATATCATATAGGCGAAATTGTCGCAGGGTTTTCACCACATTAATATACTGAACAAGTGGCTCTAACTTTTAAACAGCAGTCTTCAATGGTGTAGCTTTTTTAGGTACAGCTGAAGTGAATTAACAGTTGAAGAAATGAAGACTCGCCAACTTCTGTACGGATCCATCGGTATTTAAAAAAATTTAATTTAAATGAATTGCATTTATATTTCTGCTCTAGGTACTTATATAAACGTATAATCACGTATGTAACTCAATCATTAATTAATTCTTGGAATCGAAAGAACGTGTTTGCTTGGAAGAAGAGTGTGGTCCCCATTCGTGTACTAGATAGATCAGATGTTCTGACGATCATTTCAGTCTTTTGATGCCTCCTCGCGTCATATCATGAGTTTTTGTATTTCCATGTCATCCATCGCCAGCTTACGTAATTAATTACTTCTTCAAATAATTAGAGCTATCACGATTAAAGCTTTCATCTTGCAAACACCTTTGCCATCTGCACGCAATTATCATATGTGTGCAAACGTTTTTAGCTGAATGCAGATTAGAACCACGCAAGACTCCACGCAATGACTGACGTAAGGGTGTCGCGAAGGAATCTCCAAGCTCGAAAAATTTGAAAGGAACCCCTCTTACCAGATATTTTCAACCAAACCTCGGTTTATAACTCAATGTGCAAAATATGGACCCAAGTTAAATGTTTCGGCCGTTGCAACTGCTCCATTACCTTCAACTTCCATCATTTAATATTTTCATATGAAAATGAAGACTGTTTAATGGTGCTGCACCAAAGTCATAAAAACTAAATGTTTGAATAATAGTTCATGCAAATAAAATATATATATATATATATATATATAATATCACCTATATATTTATATATAAGAGAAGAGAATGTATCATAAATAAATAAGTATATACTATACATCCATTATAATTGCAGCAAAATGTATGTAGGTAATAACATAAATAATGAATACATGGTGGTACAAGCAGATTTGGTTCGTTCTAAGTAATCTTTTCACTTTCCACGAATCAAACACTCGTACCAAAATTTCACATGTTCGAGCTCTCAAATACAAACACAGTCTATAAACATAAGTTATATATGAAATGCATGTTCTAAATGAAACAAACGTGTGTACAGCGAATGCCTGAGTGCACAATTTGAGAGGGTAATTAAAATTTAAAAATGTTTCTCGGAAGAACGAAAAAAGTCATTCCTGGTTAACGCTTAATTTGTGCCAACTCACCATGGACGCAGTCGTTAAACGAAGTTATTGTTAACTTGTTCACAGTTGTTTGAAAAATCTCAGCAGCGGGTTGGCTGATATCTGATAGATAGAAAAAGAGCAGAGAACTCATCAATCTCGTCACCCACTTATCAAAATTAATCATTACTCATTAAAAAAAGTCTATTTGATTGACGATAAAAGTACCTAAGAACAAAATATTTGATTAGAAACGTTTGATTTGAATAAATTTGTAATTTTTAAAATGGAGAGATCGTTGAGTTTACCTGACAAGACAAAAATATCGATTTATCGACTCAACAATGATTGAATTAAAAAATGAAATAGTTTATGTAAAATAACAAACTCATCTCAATGAATCAAGCGAATACTGATTTATTTTTTGGGTGTACGATGTCAGTGTTCGTGGAAAGCGGCCTCAAATAGTAAGTGAACTCAACAAATATGCTAATTTTTTAGATCAGACGTTTGAACTCAACACGCACTCATTCTCACCCAAGTTATTCATATCAAAGTTTTTGAGATTTTCTTTGGTATATATTTTAAAATCGCATTAAAATAAATCACGAATAAAAATAAATTGACAGGTAGATAATGAAAATCTCATTAGACTCTTCTTAAAGATGATCTTTTAAATTTTTTCAACGTTAAGACTCGAGAATGCATTAAATGTGTAAAAATTTGTGAAAGAACTAAAAAATTCTATCAAGAAATTTAGATAATGAATTAAAAATTAAAATTGAACAAGGAAGTTTAAAAGTTAGAAGTCTATTACGCCCTTCTAAAGTTCCGAGGAATCAACAGTACACAAACAGCGTATAATGAATTTGTGCTAAACGACGCATCGGCATCGCACAGAATGAAAACGTGACAGGCGGAGATCCTTTTGTCATATTCGAACCCGGTCTCCGCGTAACAGGACCAGGTGATTTTAACCACTAGTTCATCAAGCCACCCTCAATAAAGTCAATTTTGAAAATTTTATTAAAAAAAAATTAATTCCCCTAATAACTTTTCATGTACTATTTTATTTTTTCATAGCGTACTATTAAAACTAGATATCTCGAGTTGCATGACACATTTTCGGGTCAAATACGTGTTACGTACGTGTCGTGCGTTCTGGTTTTTGTTTTGTGTTTGTTGTTTATGTATAAAATATTTCTCAATTTCAAGGCAAGACAAATATTTCTTCAAAATAGCTGCGCAGTTATTTAACATATATATATATATATATATATATATATATATATATATACATATACATATATATATATATATATACATATATATATATATATATATTTATATATATATATATATATATTTATATATATATATATATATATATATTGTGCAATTTGATTAATCAATTTTCAATTTAATGTATACAAATAAAAACGACAAAAATCAATATAAATATATATAATAATATAGTATATAATTATAATATAAATATAGTTATAATATATTATATATATAATAATATATATACATGATATATAATATATATATATTATATATATATATATATATATATATGTATATATATATATATATATAACATAATTAAATATTTACCAAAAATTGTTGGCTTCGATAGACATGAACATGAAGATTTTATAGATTAATTTCACTGAGGTTCACTAATAGCAGACATGTTATGCTCTGCTGTATTAGTTGTGTCGCCCTTTATTCATTTACAATATAAACATGCTTGATTCAAACTCACCGGCGAATGTTTGAAGGCATGTAGTGTTAAGTGAATTACGTACTTTTGCCTTATGTGTTTAGTTGCAAATTTTCATATCCTACTCTATTGAATAGTATGTTGATGTGTACATGGAAATAATTTGGTGTATCAATTCTTATGTTGAACTCGAATTCAGAAAAAGATGGTAGGATGATAAAATGGGAGATGATGACGCTGCTAATGCTGACAGAAAAATTAAACCATTAGCGATGATAAAAATGTATTATTTTAATGATGATATCGTGATAGAAAAATGAAGATGATGTTGACGAAAGGTGATGATGAAAAATAATTTTTTTTACATTATTCACTCGTCTGTCCTACATAACATAGAAATGATAAGATAAAAACTATAATGCGAAAAATGTGTTAAAATGAAAAGAGGTCAGAGAAGGGCGTCCTTTCAGACGTAAACAACCCAATTTTTGTTCAAGTAATTAATGTAAACAATTTTTAATCCTAATTGATAAAAAAGCGAGTCAGTTTATTTTAAGTTCATCCAATCGTGTGCGTGTTAACAGACCTTTAAGACTGTGATTCATTTTAAACTTGAGTGTGATTCGTGTAAATTATTTTCGTATATTATTTATTACAGGACAAAACAAAGCTGGTTAATAATTGAAATAATCTTTATTAACTTTTATTGTTAATGAAACCTACAAGTAACATTTGATCTTTTTGAATGTTTCAACAACAACTCCTAAATTTTATGGCTTTGTGAATATTTCATTAAAACGCACAATGATCAAAGACACGAAAACAAACAACTAAAATTAAAAAAAACAAAAAACAGAAAAGAGACAGAATTATTGTCATCAAACACTTAGGCAAGCATGATCATAAAAACAAAACTAACAACAAACGTTTAAAAAGCAATAAAAAACTAGCGCTGTTGCCATAAAAGTCCGAAATGTTAGCAACTTATGAATCGTATTATTTTTAATGTGTCTCGCAAAATGGCAACACACGCACTTGATGTTAGCCGAGTTAAAGAGTTACTTAGTCAAGCTAGAGTGCTTGCGTGTGTGTGTGGTCGTCAGTTATCGCGTGTGCAATTTTTTTACATTTTTGTTAATCAAATCACTATTTTTGCCTCTCTCCAAATAGACACTTCAAGTAAAATAAAATTATTTTTTTAATCTATGTCATGCAGGTAACAATAACGAAGCTTAAATTTTTAGCTGTTTTAACTGATTTTCTCACACCAATCAAACACTGAGAAGCTTGATGATATGAATGTATTGACTATTTATTTACATTGTTACGTGTGGGTAGTAATTGTGCATCGTTTAAAAGTTTGTGCTGTTGCTTGTTCCTTGTGACATGCAGTTTTAATGCTTCTTTCACTTTGAAAGAAGCATTCATCATCAGCTCAACTCCAGCAACACCACAAAATCAATTCATTTAAGGAAATGTGCTGAAATCTCTGCTAATAAAAATTAACGAGTTTCTCTTCGTACATCGCATCAGCGCTAACCATTCATCAGCCATTCTAAGTTTATTTTTAAAACTCGGTCAAATATAAGTGGCAACAAAATAACTTATATAAATAAATAACCAGTTTAATATTCATTAAAATGAATATGCAACTTTTCAATGTAGGCTGTTCGTTACTTTGCATTCTTAACTACGTAAAGTGCGGCTTAAAAGTTTGGTGTTGAACATATTTGTGAACATAATCTTTTATAGTCTTTGGCGTCAATGTTAAGTTCAGTTAAATATAACAAAAGAACACAACGTTGATGGGGTTTTGAAAAATTGCAATGGCAGGCGAAATAAGATAGTAAAATTAAAATTTATTCCTTTAGAAAAAGCAATAAAAAAATTAAAAATTTTGTTCATTTCAAACTTTGTTAGATTCTCTATGTTTTACTTTAGTTGTCGTTTTACTCAGTTTACTTTTCAAATGTTGGTAAATCATAATTTCTATTTATTTAATTATTGAATTAAATTAGTTTTAAATTTCAATTTAAATTTGAAAAAACAAAATGAACATAAACGGCCAGCAAGCAAAATAGCCGAAGGATTAGAATTAGATCATGTCGATGCTTCGTGTTGTTCTGGTTTAGGTGCAAAAAGGTACTTGACACTCAAATGCCAATGTGTGCGTGTACGTGTGTGTGTATGTGTATGTTTGTGTATTTGCAGTGGGTTGACTCTAGTCGGAGGTGATGATGGGGATGAACTCCCAGCATCTATCATCTATACAGTGCTTCAATAAGGCTTGCAATCTGACGTTGCGAATCAACCAAGTCCAACTCCTTGCCTCCACGTGGCGGGGTTGAGTAAGGAAGAGGTTTTGGCTTTGCTAACAGGAGAAGGCGAGAGGCAAATAACCAGAGCCTTAAAACTGGTGTTCTGTTGGTTCCGGAGTGAGGATGAAGGAGAAGATGCATTTCTGATTTCAAACCATAGTACCGTGCCATATGGCCGGTTACACTATTTTACAACTCTGCCAAACTGATGTGTCCACATGGTTGGTCATCGCGTCTGATGAGGTCAACCTTGTTGAGAAGAGAGAATCGCATGCCTCACAAACATTTTAAACGATTCATTGTGAAGGTTGTCATTAGTGGGTGTTATGGCGACAGACACAGGTAGATGATACCACTGGACTTGTTTAGCCACAAATTAACACGTAGGCGGTCTGTGAGATGTACAAAGCTCATCTACAGAGAGCTACTTGACATTTGGTGTCTGCTCCAGACGACAAAACAGCCCAATTTAGGAACGCACTGCATTCTTCAGGATTGAAGAGAGAACTAAAAAAATTTGTCCTACACTTTGCTAGCTTTTCGGTATCTTAGCAGCCTGCCGCGGTTGTCTGGACATCCTTCTTGGTGGTAAAAATTTAAAAATTGTCAAAAGAAATACCTTCGACCTTGCTTCATGGAATGTACGTACATTGCTGAACGAGGGAAGTCGACATGAACGTCGTACTGCAATTGTGGCTCGTGAGCTCGCCCGCCTAGGCATCGACATTGCCGCACTTAGCGAAATAGGGTTCTCAGTGTCAACTCGGTTCGAGAAGAAGGGTACCGGTCACTCTTTTTTCTGCCTGGGTCAACCAACAAGAGAGATGCGAATGGGTGGAGTTGGTTTTGCTATTCACAGCTCCCTCCTAAAGGCCGTTAATGAGACTTTTTTATGGATTTCTTCTTGACTAATGAGGATGCATTTTAGCATTAGTCCTAAAAGAAAGCCACAATGACCCACCCAGCTCTTTGTTTACCAAGATGCAGTCTATTTATATGTGTATTTGTGTGTATCATGATGCCCGTGTTTGAATGTGTTTGTGTGCGCGTGTGTGTCTGTATTAGTACGTGAGCATTTGCGTATGAATATATATATATATATATATATATATATATATATAATTTTTACAATATTCTATAATTTCTACTGAATGTTTGACGTTAAAACGAACTACAAACATATTAACGCCAAACATTTGGTAAAATTTATAGAATATTGTAAATATATATATATATATATATAATATGTGTGTGTATGTGTGTGTGTGTGTGTGTGTGCGTGTGTATGCGAGTGTGTGTGTGTGTTTGTATAGGAATGTTTGTAGTATAAGTATGCGTGGGTGTGTGTGCGTGCGTGAGTATGTTCGCATGCGTGTGCGTCAAGAGCTGATCTACGGTAAGTTTACGTTTGTCGTTGAACAACAATTTCCAAAAATTAATGAAGAATAAGTTTTAAAAAAACTTATAAACTGGGTGAGTTGTTAGTGAGGTTGTGTTGTTTAAAATAGAAAAATGAACTTCCACGGTTGATGCTGAATAATGCTGCAAGTTGAATGTTTCAGGAAGAAATGATTGATGGAAGATTCATTATATAAATAGCATTCGAGAGCCGTAAGATGGATGATTGAAAAAATGGATTCAATTTCTAATTTTGCAGTTAGCCTTCTCTACTGTCGGTCGTCCTCTTCAATATTTATTGTTTGTTACGTAACATATTTCAATTTAATAAATATATTCTAAATATATAAAAATAAATACTAGATTAAATGCCGAATGTACTGAAAGTTAAAATATATGTCGTCTTTCATAAGTACTTGACAAATTGACAAAATAAATTGAAGATTTTTCTAATAATTTGTATAGCTTTCATCTGCATACATCATACATCATCATCCTCATCCAATTGTTTTTAAAATATTGGACGCTTGGGATAGGATCAAAACTACAAAAATAAATAGATAAACGAGCAAATTTATACTGCTGTTCAAATGCGAGTGTGTGTGCGAGTGAGTGAGTGAGTGCGTGCGTGTGTTGGCTTGTGTATTTGCGTATGTTTTTGTAAGTGCGTGTGTGTGTGTAATAATGAACCGTGAATAGGTTTGTGATTAAATGTCACAAATTTGTACGCTAGCATTTAATTAAATATAATGTGATTTTGTAAAAAATAGCAGTTAGCAAACACAAATCCGAAATCATTTGATGCAACTTTGGTGGAAAAAATGGTGACTGTCTTTACCAAAATAAATATGATAAATTAAATAAAATAGAAAAAATAAGCGCAAGATTCATCAGTACAGTGTGATTCGTTGGTTCGTGAAGTTTCATGAACATTTAGTTGCTTGAATGAAACTTCCAAATAGGGAGGGAAGGCTTATTTCAAAAATATAATTTATCTGTTTGTTTTCAAAAATTTCAACGTCGATACAGAATTTTTATCGTCAATAATTATGAATTTTGCATGAATGAATTCGGCTGTCGTTGTTGTTTGTGGAGCAATTAGCAGCGCATCATAAGCGCCCGCATCAAATGATTGATTTTCAATTCTATTCATTTAAATTGAACAAACAATTGAATAATGCATGAGCCAATAAACGTGAACATACAGGGCCGAGACATGAGTAACTAAATGTTCGTATTGGATCCACCATCACTAATTCCAACCTCGTGCCTCTGTGGCTACAACATTTTTGTGATACATGTGTGTGCGTGTGCGCGTGTCTGTTTGTGTGTGTGTGTCTCTGAGTTTATTTGTGTTTCATTCCATTGATTAATATAGATTTTATTAAAAATATTCATTTTATATAGATTATTTCATTTATTCATTCACATTCGTTCCTTCGTTCGTTCATTAATTCGTTCGTTCATTCATTAATTCATTCATTCTTTCGTTCACTTATTCAATAAAAAAAAAAGCTGCATACAACAGGAAGAGCTTAAGAACGTCAAAATGAACAATATCTTAATTGATTGTGGGACCAATTTTCATTTAAAATATTTAAATTGTTCAGTTACGGTTAAAATATTTGTTCAACATTCTTAAATGAACCGAAAGCGTTTCTTTTATTAATGTTGTTTGTTTTAACACTGACGCAATGACAAGGTTGTTGTTGTGTTGTTGTGCTGTTGTGTAAGAGGTACATGCATGAGGGAGTTGAGATGCATTTTTTTAACATAAAATATTTTTAATAAACTGTTTCTAGATTGTTTAATTGCGATGAAGATGACTTCAAACAGACACGTTAATAGAAAAACGAGTCAGTTCAGCCAACTTTGGCAATAAGAAAAACTAAAAAAGACACAGTCTTGAATGAAGAGCTTTTTAAACAGGAAGACGTAAAGTTTAAGTTTGAAAAAATATTGTCAACAAAATGTGAATGTTGCAATAGAAATAATTCTGAACAGGTGAATATTTGATAGGAGAGGCACGTGAAGTTGCAATGGAGGCAGAACAAAAGGTCGATCAGATGATTAAATAAAAATCAACCATCAATCAAAATGAATTTTTAATAAAGCGTATAAATTTAAATAGCAGTACGTATTGAAGTTGGCCCATTCAATTGACTCACTACTTTTTGTTATCATTCATTGTTGGCTAAATTTATTCTCAATTTTATTAGCCAAAATTTCAAAAAAGTGCTTGCAAAATTTTATGCACTTACGAATATACAAACATATGTAGACACAGACACACAAACAAACACACACACACAAACGAACACACGCACAACAGCACCAACACACTCAAAAACACACAAAAAGACACAAACTTAAACAAGCACACAAACACAATCTCATATATATATAAAGATAAAAACACGTCATATTTTATTCTTGCATATATATATATATATATATATATATATATATATATATATATATTCAATCATTTGTGTTAAATATCTCTATCGACAACTTCTTTTGTTCCTTATTACCCGATCGAGTTTGCCTTTTTGAGAACTGTGATTGTTGTAAGATGACAATGAACTTGTTGGATGCGCCTTGCTGAACAAACAACAAACTTCACGTACATTCAATTCAGCAAACGTGTAAATTTAAACTACCAACACACAGACGCAAATGTTCATCCACCACTAGGCAATCTATTTTAACATGTCTAAGTTGTGTATACTTGCTTATTTGCCTATTCATTCCTTTGATTGTATATTTTAACACTCTTAAACAGCAAATAAATTAATAAAAATGTTCTTTTAAAATATATTATCATTGAATTTTAATGTTAAACATTAAATTTAATGTGTTTAATAAAATAATGTTCATTTCGTACATTTAATTGCAGGGTAATAAAAAAATAGCATTTAAGAAGACAATAGCCTAACATGATTTATGCAAGCTTTAAAACGGCTGGCTTGTCAACCATATTTTTCTAAATACTCTTCATAAGTCTTATTTATTTATCTGCAAGTACATATTCGAAGCTTGGTCTACTAAAATGATGCAAAAATATTGTTTGAAAGAGTTTCGGAAAAAGAAGACATCGGATAAGTTGCAACAATGGAACGTTCCGACGAGTTTGAAATTGGCTGAATACATGATGATGAGTGAGTGTTGATTATCAATGCCAAATAATGAACAGTATTTAATGATGAACTGTCATTATTGATGAACAATCTTTTTGTGGTGAACCATTACTAACGGTGAACAAAGAGTTTTATTAATAGTTAGTAATTATATATTAGTAAAAATTATCGATAGCGAACCGTTCCTAATGATGAAAATTTATGAATGGTGAATTGTTATTAACAATGGGACAACCAACAACTGTTATAATTTAAAATTCGATAACAAAATTTAAAAAAGCAAGCGGGAGATTGAGGATTGTTTTCGAGATTTATTGGTCGTTGTTGACAGAAAGCAGGAGCGTTGTTGACAGAAGGACCAAGCTTAATGTGTTAAACCACTGATGTTGCTAATGGACGTTAAATTTTTATTTTTAAAGTTATTGCCAAATACATAGGTTTATAATCTATTAAAAAGTCAAGGCAAACTTTGAAATGATGACATACATTATTTTGTTGTGTGATTGAAATCTAATTTTTGTTGACATTTCAAATTTTATTATTTAGGCCTAGTTTTGTAAACGAAAATCTTGCAAGCTATTCATATTCTATATATAAATTATTTACACATACATACGTATCGTAATCGAGAACAACGAACTAACATGCGAGAGATTTATTCAACTGAATTTTTGTTCATATTTTCAACCAAATAATTACCTTTTAAAAAAAAGTTTTGTTGACTTTTTGATATTACAAAAAATAACTAAACAAATAAAATTTTGGCAATTCGTGAAACAATGACAAAAGTTATGATTAACAAGCAATCACAACAAAATGAATGAATATAATCAAACTATTTCATTACAATCATACAAACGATGTCAATTCGTGTAGATACAAGAAATATTTTTTCTTAGATATTTAACTACAGATTTTTGAAATTGGGGTCATCATATATGACAATACAACCAATACAAACAAAGTGTAGGAGTGAGTGAAATCGGTATAGTGCTTTGCTTGCATACGTGCATGTTAAAATATATCAATAGTAACAAGCGTTTTCCGATTAGACCAAATATTAAAAGAGAGGTCTGCGTCTGACGATACAAATTCAAACCAGGGATAAATATCCGTGAACCTTAAAAATAAAATTTTCGTGAAAATGAATTATTGAAAAAAAAAATAAAAAAAAATTTCAACATTAAAATTTTTTTTTTTTTTTATAAAGGGTAAGGTTGGAGGACGAACTGGGGGGGGGAATAACAGACGGAAAACCACAACGTAAAAAACAGCTAATTATATAAGGAGGAAACGGAGAACAAACAAAAATGAGACGATTAAAACACAAAATAAAACGCTATCAAACGTTAACAATTTAACAACAAAATTGTAACAAGCAAGCAAAACAACACACACACACACAAGCACACACTCACAACAACAACACAAGAACGAAACAACAAAAGGAAACAACACCTAGGCACCCACCCACCTTTGTAATCACACATTTTGCAATCTAGATCTTCTTCCTCACCATCATCTTCCATCACTCTCCTCTCTATGATTGATGGCGAACCCAGTTGGTTATTACCATCATCATTATCTCGGTCATCATTATCAATATCGTTATCATCATTATTTTGGTCATCATCGTCATTGTTATCCTGACCATCACCGTAATTTTGACCATTGTTGGTAATGTGGTCATTTTCGCTACCCAGATCTCGTTCATTATCATGATTCTTATAACGTTTGAAATTAGAATTCTCAGATTCATGACTTATTTTTCTGTTAGTCACATCTTCATCATCTTTTTCCTTTTTATCAACTTCAGTACCACAGCCATCATCATCGTCGTCGTCGTCGTCATTGCCGTTGTCCTCATCACCATCACCATTTTTATTAACATCATCATCAATTTTATCATCACTATTGAAGTCCTTCTTGACATTTTTATCCACACTGGCAGGTGCAGAATTTGCAGTACTGTCAACTGAACTGCTTGAAATAATTATGGAATTGTTTTCTTTATCAGAATCTGAGTTGTTGACGATGTTGTTGTTGATGATGATGTTGTTGCTGTTGATGATGGTGTTGTTGTTGATGTTATTGTTGATGATGTTAACGACGTTGTTGTTGTTAATGTTGTGGTTGTTTCCTACGCTGCTACCTATGTCTGAATATTTTGTATAGTTGCTGTTGTTGTTGTTGCAACTGCTGTTGTTACTGGAGCTCTGGTTAATGATGCACAATCGATTCTGTTCGTTGCTATTATTATCATTAGCACCGATTTTTCTATTTACAACTGTGACGATGTCTTTTATATCGCCATTGTTGCTTGTGCGGTCTTGTTTAACCTTGCTGAACTTTTTGTTGATGTTGTTTGCGTTGTTTTCATTGTCCTGGTCATTTAGTTGGTTGTTGTTTGGGGTGTCCATTTCTACGCTGTTGATCTTGCCTGCGCAGTTGTTGCTTCGTTTACTGAGGTGGTAGGGATTCGAGGAATGTACTCTTGATTTTGTTGCTGAGTGTGTTACTTTGCACTCTTCATTGACGCGCATTATGTGTCTTGAATGTTCTTCTTCTACAATTTTTCCACCACTTGCATCACTATCATCATTTTTTTTGTTATCATCTTTAAAATTTTCACAATTACCATCATCTTCGTTTTCGTCTTCCCCATCAAGACGTGCTATACATGTCTTGCCATCAGTTTTTACCTCTTCTTCATTAACCCTTGCGCTAGAATTTTTAAAATCAGAAATGATGTTGTAACTTGTTTTGTTGGTGGTGGCTAATATATAAGGTTCTGTAACATTTGCTGTTGAGGCTGCTACTGCTACTGCTGCTGTTACTGCTGCGTTGTCTTTTGCGTATTCAGGTCCTACTCTACTCATTTTTTCTAAAGCTTTTCTCTTCTTGTGCTTCATCGCGTACTCCTTAAAATCGCTGTCATGGTCATCGTCATTTTTATTGTCCTCGTTGTCAAGGTTGAAGTTTCTCTTCCTTAAAACTGTTTCATTAATGTTGTCTTTGCTATCATCCTTAGTCTTATTACCTTTGCTAATGCTGTCATTCATTTTGTTTGCCTCTGAACAATTTTCTGGGGAATCGGAGACATTCCATTTAGTGAATATTTTGTGTCTTTTGTTTCCAACATCAGAATTCACCATCTTAACTGATGTACTATCCTCATTTCCACCTCGATTATGAACCGGATTGAACTTCATAGCCTGGTGATTTTTCATGCTAAGCTTGTTTTCATCGGAATCACTGTCACCGTCAAAAGAGACATTCCTGTAAAGCATCAACTTTTCCACGTGCAATCCAGCACCCATCTTCATGGGCAACTCTTCATCCCGAACTGGACCAAACTGATTGGGTTGGCTGTTGTATTCGTGGTTTCTGTGGACATCTTTCTCGTGGATAACGGATCTGTTAATTCCGGTGGCACCCTTCAAATGCTGATAATCTCGGTCGGTTATTTTGTTTTCTAACAAAACCGTACATCTGTTCAGATTAATTTTATCTTCGAAATCATCTTTTAATTTGTTATCTTTGTATGAATATTCATTTTCAAAAGAATTAGCACCGTCATCGTCAACGCAGTTATTTTTCTCAGTATTCTTACGTCTCGCAACATTTTTCAGAATTTGACCATCTCCGCCATCATACTTGTGCAGCGAGTTATTTACTTTGGACTGACCAATCGAACTGGATAAAACCTCTTTTCTGTAAAACTGGCTGTCGGGATGGAAGTGATTGGTGTTTCTTTCAACTGAATCTCTCTTGCTCAGTTCAGCTGAAAAACTGGAACTTCTGTTCCTCTGATCTGAAAAGGCAGCATTTTTCAGTAAGGCCTGTTTTATGTGATCGTAGTTCTGGGAAGGCTGAGATGAGGCATATTTTCGTTGTTGTTGTTGTTGTTGCTGCTGCTGCTGCTGCTGAAGTTGGTTATGAAGAAAATGTTGTTGACGTTGTTTTTGATTATGTTGCTGTTGCTGTTTCGCTTGCTGTTGTTGAAATTGTAAAAGGAGATTATTTTCTTGCTGAAGCATGTATTGTTGTTGTTGGCTTTGTTGCATGGCCTTCAAGTTGATATATTTGTCGAAATCGTGGCTGTTGTTGTTGTTGTTGCAATTAATGTTATTGCTGTAGTTAAAGTTAAACTGGGAAGGCGTCGCAAAATCTTGTACAGGAAACGTTGGATATATTTTGTTTTCAAATAACTTGCTGTATTTTGAATAATCAAAATTAGCGTTTTTAACAGGGTGGCTTGTGTCGAAGTTTTTGTTGTCGTTGACGGGACCGTAACTGCTGTGAGGAAGGGAGAAGAAAGCTGCTGCTGGTAAGTTGATATGACCATGCATATGACTGCTGTGGACATTAACAATGCTATTTGCCTTATTGATTCTGTCATCTTCCTGATACTCCAGCTTCACATCAATCGTGTCGTCATCGGAGCGGTTGTCGTCCCTATAAATCTTACTAGCACGATTGTGGTTCATTGCGCCGATGTGCTGCTGCTTGTTGTTGACTGTCTTTCTATTTATTTCGTTGAACGATGAAGCATCGGAGTTATCAAAACGAAGAATTTTGTCATTGTAGTTGGTTTGTTTATTGGAATGCTGATTATTTTGGAGGTCACTGTCGTAACTTTCTTGATGTTGTTGATGTTGTTGTTGTTGATGTTGATGTTGTTGTTGTAATGGTAGATAACATTGGTTCTGCTGTTGTTGTTTCAACATACGTTTTTCTAGTGCATTGTGACAATGCTGAAAATTATTGAGAGCGTAGCTCGTAAACATATCTGCTGCTTTATTGGTCAGTTCTGTTTCCTTTACATGCGAGGTCATTACGTTTGACGACGATGGTGCAGATAGCTGAAAGATGAAATTTGAAATAACAACCAGCTTGCAATCTGTACCAAATGATTTTTAAATAAAACTGCTGAGTAACTGTTTTGATTGATTCATTGTATTCATTTCATGAGATGTTTTTGGAAATGACTGAAACGTGACATGGAAAAAATTTTATTACCGAAGTTAGCATTGTGAAGTTGTGACGATTGTGATGATAATGATTGCGCGATTGAAATATGCCGCCTGTATTGTGATGATAATGATTGCGCGATTGAAATATGCCGCCTGTATATTTTGTGAAATTGTGACGATTGTGATGATAATGATTGCGTCTTTGAGGCGTGCCGCCTATATATATCTATATATTTTACTAGACATTCTATGCATGTATATTTTGTTATTTGATATGCTATATATGCGACGCTGCTGTGCTGTATCGCTTTTCTGAGTATAGGAAAAGAGTATAGATAGGAGTATAGAATTTTCTATGATATAGAAAGCGTTATGTAGATAGGGCGGTAAAAACATATAAAAGGCCGCGAGTTGAGATATAGGAGGGCGGGTCGTTTGTTATCTTAATTTTAGGTTTTGGTCTCTTGCTTGTCAGTTGTATTATTAATAGATTAATTTTGGACTTATCGTTTTGTTTTAATAAGGACAGAGGTTTGATTTGTATTATTTTGTTTGTTATTTTATTTCTTTTATTGAATAAAAGAAGTGTACACTTGAAGTTTGGCTCGGCTTAATTATTCTACCTAAAATAATGGATGTTGAAGAAGACTTGTTGATAGTTGACGAGGTCGGCGTCTCTAGTCAACAAGCAGGGCGTAGCGACGAGTCGACCGAGTCGCTTGTCCAAACCTGGACAGGCGAAGATACGCCAGAATTTTTACCAGGGCAGCCGGACATCGTTCCAGAACTTGTGAAGCTTGCTGACGAACTCTTTGATCAGCGACCAGATTTGTTTGCCGTAGGTAACCAGCCATCGATGGACCTGTTTGCTGGTCTGGACGAACGACAGACAGAAAACGATCAGCAACTGACGGAAACTCAATCGAGCACGACGGCCACAACAAAAAGAAAAAGGAGGAAACCGACGAGGTGGGGACCGGAGCTAGAAAGATGGATGGTGGAAGTTCCTGAGTCTGGTGAAGATCTATAAGAGCAAACGTCGGGACGACGTTTTAGAGGGTGGGGAGCTTTGTGAAGTTGTGACGATTGTGATGATAATGATTGCGCGATTGAAATATGCCGCCTGTATTGTGATGATAATGATTGCGCGATTGAAATATGCTGCCTGTATATTTTGTGAAATTGTGACGATTGTGATGATAATGATTGCGTCTTTGACGCGTGCCGCCTATATTCAATTCAATTCAATTCGTTTATTTTCTCAAAAGAGGGGTAAACTAAAAAAGCAACCAAATGCTTGTAAGAAAGTCACCCTATCCAAATGAAATCAACATTGATCAACAAAAATCAAAAATTAAGATAGTTCGACAAAAATCAAGGATTAAACTAGATCGAAATAAATCAAAAGTTATTGAACTGCAGATTCTATTCTATTAATCTTATGAAACAGAGATATAGTTCAAGATGAGTACATAAAATTAAAGTTTTGAATTTAGGATTCTATAGCATTTCAATAAATTAAATGATATGAAACCAAATATAGATCAAAAGTAAGAGTACATATATATATACATACCTACATACGCACATACATACATACATACATACATCCATACATCCATACATTCATACATACATACATACATACATACATACATACATACATACATACATACATACATACATACATACATACATACATACATACATACATACATACATACATACATACATACAAAAACGGTTTTATTCAGATCATTGATATTACTCATATACAAAAATTATTCAAATAAGATTTGGATAAGGTTAAAACAACTATAGTTGCAAAAATCGCCGTTTATCAGACAATAAATAAGTTTTACAATGTTGTTTAAAAAGACGAGGTTTTGAAATAATTGTAACAGATAGAGGCAAAATTGTAAACCAAATTTTGGGTGCAAGAATAAATATGCTATCATTTAAAATTTTTAGTCTACTGAATGGTATTATATATGGAATGAAGTGACGAGTAGATTTAAAAATATGTGAAGGTTTGAGTAAAAAAATATTTGAGAAATTAGATGGTAGCAGATTATTGACAAATTTGAACATGAAAAAGGCAACAATAAAAATATGTAATTTGTATATTGTAAGAAGACCTAAAGAAGAAAAATATTCATCAACATGAGTGGTAATTTTTAAATATAATAATAGTTTTATAAATTTTTTTTGAATTCTATATAGTTTTGAGACATGAACAGCAGGGCTATTGATGAGGAAAAACAAATGCATTGTACAACAATATTAAAGTAGTTTTATTATCTTATTTTATAAAGAAGACCTAAAATTTTGCTTAATTTAGAAGAAATAGTATTAATATGTTCAGCCCAAGATAAATTATCTGAGATAATTAGACCCAAAAATATATCTATATATTTTACTAGACATTCTATGCATGTATATTTTGTTATTTGATATGCTATATATGCGACGCTGCTGTGCTGTATCGCTTTTCTGAGTATAGGAAAAGAGTATAGATAGGAGTAAAGAATTTTCTATGATATAGAAAGCGTTATGTAGATAGGGCGGTAAAAACATATAAAAGGCCGCGAGTTAAGATATTGAGAGGCGGGTCGTTTGTTATCTTAATTTTAGGTTTTGGTCTCTTGCTTGTCAGTTGTATTATTAATAGATTAATTTTGGACTTACCGTTTTGTTTTAATAAGGACAGAGGTTTGATTTGTATTATTTTGTTTGTTATTTTATTTCTTTTATTGAATAAAAGAAGTGTACACTTGAAGTTTGGCTCGGCTTAATTATTCTACCTAAAATAATGGATGTTGAAGAAGACTTGTTGATAGTTGACGAGGTCGGCGTCTCTAGTCAACAAGCAGGGCGTAGCGACGAGTCGACCGAGTCGCTTGTCCAAACCTGGACAGGCGAAGATACGCCAGAATTTTTACCAGGGCAGCCGGACATCGTTCCAGAACTTGTGAACACACAAACGACACACAACAACATTACCCATATCCCAAACAACGCACAAAACCACACAAACACACAACAAGACAAAACATTACACAAAACAAAACACCACACAAACAACAACACACAACATTGCACAACAACACACATACAATATTGCAGAGAAACACATACAACACACAACTTTGCACAAGCAGAACACAACATAGCGAGTAACCACCGAAGCATCAATCATCATTTTTTTCAGCAGACGATGTAGCGCCTGTATAATAAATTCATTAGGACGCTGAGCGCCACATTTAATCGTTTCAATAAAAATCATTGAATTGTAAAAATTAAAGTAATAAATTTAATAATAACGAGAAAATGGGTGGATAGAAACAAGACTAGGTAGTCAGTAAATCAGAGAAAGAGTGCCAGCCAGCCATGAAAGGACATGATGCCGTGGGTTGGATGACATGCAGATCAGTCTGCACGTACGAAAGGTTTGAACGTGGCGCCGATGCAATTTGGCTGATTGCAGATGCAGCGCGTTGGTTCGATTATTACGCAGACAATTGTTAGCTTAGGACGCAAGGCGAAATGTCGTGTAACCATGAAAATATCATAAATAAATGTTAGGCTGTCGAGATGAATGATTGAACGATCAAACAAAAAATACGATCAGACAAACAAATGAATTAATGGATGGATGGATGGATGGATGGATGGATGGATGGATGGATGGATGGATGGATGGATGGATGGATGGATGGATGGATGGATGGATGGATGGATGGATGGATGGATGGATGGATGGATGGATGGATGGATGGATGGATGGAAGGAAGGAAGAATAGATAGATAGATGGATGGATGGATGGAAGGAAGGAAGAATAGATAGATGGATGGATGCTTATATAGATAGCAAGATAATTAGATGACGACACGAACACACACACTCACAACAAACAATAATAAATGTCATTGACATGTCACAAGGTCGAAAGATTAATAACATATTTTGCAACATGTAGAGGATGTTATCATCACATCGCGAGAAGCTGGCTGGGTGCGAAAGTCGAAAGAACATCATTTGTTGTAGAAAAAATTGTTCATTTATCTAATGACGATGCGCTTGCTGTGAAATGAGATACATGATACAGGATTCATGAGATACAAGAGATAGATGATATACAAAAATTGATGAGATACAGGAGATACAAGAGATAGATGAAATACCAAGATACAGTTAGAAATGTATTAGGAAAAATTAAACATAAATAAAAATTATGATCAAACAAATAAAGATTTTGGTTACAAAATAAAATACATTCAAATAAACAGTAAACGCAGAGAAATAACATCAACTTTTACACAGTGAATCTGCTGCAAATTACGATTAAGGTATTATAATATTCTGAAAATGTTTTTAACAGAACAAACAGAGCGATTTGAAATCGAATTTCAAAAAATTGAACTCACTTTAAAACTGAACAGCGAGCGACGATCCCCGTGAAGGTTTTATTATTATTAACGTAAAATCACAAATGAAAGCCGAACAATTTTCTTAATTAAACGCTTTTCAGAATGCATTTAAAAATTAAATCATCTTTAATTTAATTTTTTTAAATAAAAATCGTTACTCGTCAAATCTGCTCATCACTTAATCCGCGATGCAAAAGTCATCATGCTCCGATGTTCATAATATAATTTATATCGAAATCACATTCCTCACAATCATAATCGTCGTCGTCATCATCTTCGTCACCATCATCATAATTAACGTTGTCGTTGTTCAGTTAGTCCGAGAGAATATAAATCACAAAAAAAACTCGGCGACGAACGAAAAGAATAAATTGAGACATTGACAAATAACTGGCAATCTCATCTATTTATACGCCTTAGTTTCTCTGTCGAACGGTCTCTTAGTCGGGACTATACTGTTAACAATTAGACGTACATTCACATATCTGCTGTATGAATTGATTCAAACAATCTATATACTATACATACACATTCGTGCACACATTCATAATATATATATATATAGATAGATATATATTATTCATATATACGTTATATGTATGTATTAATAGCATCTTTACCGTTATGAATGCCTGAGAAATGTATTGAGCAGGCCACACACGTACGTTTCAATAATATGCATGTATGTGCATATTATGGTATTATTTATAATATATATATATATATATATATATATATATATATATATATATATATATATATATATATATATATATATATATATATATATATATATATATATATATATATATATATATATATATATATATATATATATATATAT